AATTCTTTCAATGCTGCCAAGAATGATTCATGGTTTGATATTCCCATTTCTGATGTCGTAACCAACAAATGTGGAATTTTATTTGCTGCTTCTGTTTGAACCATACAACTTGTAATACCAGTACATTTAAAAATCACCTGGCACATACATATATCTTAAAATAAAAATTGAAAATCATTTTAAGCAAGTATCATTATTTATACATTTTTTCTTAAACCACATATTATTGCATACCTGAAAATGAAACAAATGGTTGAATTGTGACACATTCTCTGTTTTCTCTATACATTTTTTGACATACATCCCCTTGCTATCATAAAATAATCCAGAATTGGTACCATCAACCCCATAGTTAATAAATTATGGTGTTTCATCACAATTAAATATTCGACTAGTATCAAAAATACCATTCCAAACCCCTGCTTCAATTTTCTCTTCATTAACCATAACAACAACTTTTACTAGTTCTTTAGCAAGTGAATCATATATTACATAGAAATAAGTATATTTAAAAACGTAGATTGATACTTATTTATAAAAATTTTTAAACTGATACCTAAATGATTATATGCCATTTCCCTTGAACAATTTAGTACACGGTTTATAGACATTCTTCCTTGTCGCTTGATGGTAAGACTGCTATGTTTAGCATTAAAGCAAAACCAAAATGATCGACTTAATCTATAAAAGAGGACCGTTATATAAAAACAACAGTCTGATTAAAAAAAGGGACATTTACATATAAAGATGATTCTTATTACCCTATTTAGATTTCATAGGATCATTGTAAATTTAATTATTTAGTTTCAACTTACTTTCCTTTTTCCAGTGCAGCTCGAGCATTTAATGATAATTTGTGAAACTTCCTTCCACCTTTTATCTTTGTATTAGTGTGATATCTAATACGTAGCACATTTAGAATTAACTTGGTTACTTCCTGTTTTTTAATTGCTAGTAAAGACCTGTTCTTATTTTTTATAAAACGAACAATACATGCCTCTTCATTTTCTGTAAGTATAGTACAATAACTTCTTTCTTGTCCATTAACCACTTTTCCATCTAATCGCGTGTTGATTGTCTCTCTATCTTTGATAAGAGGAAACATACCAGTCTTTAATGCTGCTTGTCCCCTCCCATTCGTTTTTTGCACCAATTTATAGCAGCTTCTAGTTGCTTATTTTTTTCATTAGTTTTCTGGCAACTGTGGCAAATGTTGGTTTCATTTTACTTACTATTAATAAATGCAATAAATATAATAAACGAAACTCTAAAATGGCGAACAAAATAAAAAACATAACTTGCTTCAATGGCAGTATTTCCGCAATAAATTAACATATATAATTAAATTTTTTTATGGATGATAAATAGAAACTATCTTCGAGTAAACTATATAAATATTTTATTAAATTATTTCAAATCTTCAAAAATCGTCAAAAAACCAACGTGGTTTTTGGGGTGCATATGATATGGTTTTTGTAGTACATTTGAAGTGTTCTATAAAATATAAGTTAGCAGTGATGCAATCATCCTAAGAGCAATTTATTATAACAATCTTCTTCAAAAAATCAGGTTAAAATTCTTAACAGTTAAGAAATTATAGCTAAATTAGTTAATGTGGTTTTTGGGGTGCATGGCGAAAAAAAGAGTCAGCTTCAACATTCAAGCAAAAGAAAACAAGCAAGACATATTAAACCATACCTATCAGGAAGAACCCCATTTAGGCTTATCTTTCAATAGTAATAACTCAAAAAATATTTTTTTTTTTCAAGAAAAAAGTATATAATAAATATAATAAAACATTTCTTTATTATTACCTTTAATTTAATTAGAAAAAGTCCAAATTAGCGGATTTGCTTTTTTTGCAATTCCACCCCCTCCCCTATCCAAATCCAAAGATCATCAATAGGATTGAAATCAGGTGAGTGAGCAAGCATCTGATTCAATCCTCCATCACTTGATTGAGTGTGCTATATGGCAAGGAGTGTTATCTTGTAAAAAATATATTTGGCCTGGTACGCTGGCCTGGCATATTTATAAAAATATGCCAGGCCAGTGCTAGATCCAGCCCCAGCAAGAAGCCTGCTCCTCCTTAAAGTCTTGACATTATAAAACGAGGATTGTATTTTTTATTTTTGTGTCTCCTGACTAAATACTTTTCTTGCAATTGATAAGTGCAAAGTTCAACTTGTCTGAGAAAATCTTTTTTCTCCATCGCTCTACATTCCATGCAGCTCTTTCTTTGCACCATTTTTTTCACTTGAGATGGTCTTTGATTTTAAGTTGCGGCTAGTTGTGGGTTTTTTTTCATTGATATGCTCTTTAAACCTACATTTTTGTTGTTGCAATTTCGGAGTTTTAACTAACTGTATTTCAATTGACATTTTTGTTGCTTCAATTTATACTAATTACATTTTTATTGACTATTATTAATCAACAGAAAGTGATTAACAAAAATCAATCAAAAAGAATACAAAAAACTATTTCTAAAAGGAATTAAATGTGTATGCTAATACTTTTTAAATGAGTGCGTATACTTTTGAACACTTATTTTCATTTCTTTTTTCAGAGTAGTCATTAAACTTCTAAATAATTCATCAAAACAACAAACAGGTTGACAAATATTTGACTTTTTTTTTTTTCTTTCGGTTTCACCTTTTATTTATTAAAATTAGTTTGAAATTAAAGTTAGTCTTTGATTTATATTGATTTGAAGTTTAATAAATTATGAGTGCACTAATAATTTCTGGAAGCACTTTATAGTACATGTGTGTATAAAAGTATATACATATGTATATATAAATATGCTCACACCTTACCACTACCAGGCTTTTTTTATTTAGCCATAAGTTTAATAAAGAAAAATATATTTGTTAAACTTTCTTTAAATTAGCTACAATTTTCTGGTTAATGTTAATACAAGTAAGATAAAAATATAGAAGAGTAAAATAATTGTTAAATTTTTTTTGAAATTTTAATATGAATCAAATTTAACTAAGTGACTAATGTTAAAAATGACAAATACTTGGTTATAATATATTTTTTTAATACTTTTTTTTCTTTTTTAATTATTAAAGTACCCAAGAAACCTAATGGTTCTGTTGCATAACATTGTGAAGAGGGTGGAATTTAATAAGGAAGTTTTTGCTATATTCTTTACCAATTTTGAATTTATGACCATAGCTGACATTGAACCATGTACTTTTTTAATTTAGAAGTCAACACCCTCTACACTATAACTATCTTTAAAAAAGTACATAAAAAACCATTGTCACCAACAAGTTGTTTCAATCTTTCTTATATATATTAAAGGGATCCCAAACCTCTGAGACATGTTGTGTTCATAGTAAAAAGAATGATAAAAAAATATGTTTGGGCTAAATTTTTTTGATTAAAACAAAAGAATAAATTAATACCAAGAAAACTAATTTTTTTATTTTAGTTGAAGCTCATCTCTATTAAACTGTTGTAGGCCAAAAAGTCAGTGTAATAAAGGCTACAATCTACATATTTGATAATTTATTCAAGTACATTTTATTCCTAAGAGTTTCAGTACATGGCGTCATTAATTTTTTTATTTGTGTAAAAGATTGATTATGTAAACAAACCAAAAAATCAATGATGTCATGAACTAAAACTCTTAAGAATTAAATGTGCTTCAATAAATTATCACATCTGTAGATCACAGCGTATATTATACTGACTTTTTAGCCTACAACAAAACAGAGAAGGCAAGCTCGGAATGAAATAAAAAAGTTAGTTTTTTTTTTGGTATGCATTTATTCTTTTGTTTTAATTGAAAAAATTTAGCCCAAACATTTTTTCTTATCATTCCTTTTAATATGAACACAATTTTTTCAGAGGTTTGGGATCCCTTTAAGTTATTTCACAAATACTTATATTTTATAAGTATTTGAGAAGTACTATTTCATCTGTTGATTTTTGCTTTAGTTGGCTATTTTAAATTCTTTTATTTAACACTTGAACTATCTTTATTTTCTAGTATAACGGGTGGTTACTAAAAATCCAGACCTTCAGAGGCAATTACTTTGCTTTTAAGGTCGAAATAAAATAAACATATCATTAAATATGGTTTTTATTTCTTAATAATTTCAATCAAATTTGTCTTCAACCAGTATGTTTCTATGGGTCTGCTTGATTCTAAGCTGAGTTGACCTAAAAAATCAAAATACAAAATCAAAGTCAATTTTTTCAAGCAAAGCTTCTTCTGGTTTGTAATTGCTTCACATCTTTTGCTTGCCAGTTACACGCATACACTTTGACTTTTAAAATACCCCAAAAGTCTTCAATTGGGCAATATTCCGGCAGGACTGGCAGTTTGTCAACTTTTTTGACAAAATTGATGACATGAGCTTCATAATAGTTGGTCATAATGTTAGTTTTGGTATAATGTAATGTCAGGTCCAACCAAAACATCTTCTTGGCTCTCTTATGGATCAGATCACGTATAAACTGAATCACATATTAAAGTAGTATATTAAAGTTTCATTTTGATGTCAGTTTGCTTGGCAAGAGTTTTAATAAAATGTGAATTTAAAGTACATTCAAATTTTCTATCAGCTTGTCTCATTAAAACCTGGTCACTGTGGTTAAACATGATTTTCCCATTGATAACCTTGGGAGTCATGACTTTGGCCACATGATCACTTCTGTAAACTCTTTTGTGTCCATAATCATTCTTAGCACATTCAATTATATCATAGATAGTGCTATTTAGAGATTGTTCAGCGTTGTTCAGTGATATTTAGAGTTTGTTTAGCATTGAAGTGATTCGCAATAAACTTTTTATAAGTTTCTTATTCAAATTACTGAAGTTTGTTTTTTGTTTTTTGGTTTTTGTGGAATAAAACCACTTAGACAAATAAAGTTTTTTTAAAATAACAAAGATTCTTGTGTGCAAAATCTAATTAAACTAAGGATTTGCATTTTTTTTTGGAATGGCTAGAAGGTTGTCTTAAACTAATAAGCAATTCTTTTAATAGTGACACTCAAATGATGGAATTAAAAGAGAAGTATCTAGAAAAAACAAAGATTTGGAAAACTGAAAAAGTGGGAAAGGTAGATTTCTTTTTTTTAAGTTGAGTTTGTTTAATGCTCAGATATTTGTTATTAGTTTTGTTTAAAAAAATTTTAATAAAGAATGGGGGTGAACAAGTGAGGCAGGTATTTTATCAAGTGTTATTTAAAGTATTAAAGTATGCTTTTAAGTTGATTTTAACCCACCATGGTGGATTTTAACCCACCATGGTATTACTAACACTGAAATCCAGTATTGCAAAGTTTCCATAAAAAACAGTAAAAAAAATTTTAGTTCAAAAATTTAAAAAGACTAAAAAAATTTAAAATTCATGTTTTTTGAAATAATTATTAAATTATACTATTGTGAGTAATATGGTGAGCACTAGGGTGTATCGCTTGGTACCATAATTAAAGCGCGTACTCATATTTTTATGTAAAATTAAATTTTAATTTGAGTTTCCTTTTAATGTTTTTTAATTAGAAACTTGAGTTTCCTTTTAGTGTTTTTTAATTTGAAAATGTTTCATTTCTTAATCACAAAGTTATTTTATGGTCTTCTCTATGTATCATTCTTGTTCTAACAAATCCATCTCTTCTTTCTTGGCCTTAAAAAATGGCAGATGCTTTCGTCATGCTTTTAACACAGCATTCTGTTGCTTGAGTGTGAATGCTGAATTTACAAAGATTACATATAAATATTGGTTCATAACAATCTTTTAAGTTCCAAGAAATTAATTCTTGAAGATTAGTAGCGTCAAAGTTAATCTTTGGAGATATTCTTTTTCGAACAGCAGTGTCTCCAAGTTCATTATTTCCAAGTTCATTATTTCCTCTAATTTGTAAAATCATCTAACACCAAACTTTTTTTCAATTTTGTTAGAGCTTGTCTTTCTTTAGAGCTAGAGCTTTCGATTTCGTTAGAGCTAGAGTGAAACCAGAATACACTCACTATGGCTGTACCAATTCCCAGTTCATATATATGGTGTGATAATATTCACCACATTGACTGGGAGTGTCTTAAGAATTTTAAGTTCAAGCAAAATGTGTCTTGGTCCGTGCTCCAGCAGATGTTTGGTAGAAATTTCAAAATAAAGTTTTAAATATATTTTGATACAAAATTCAACTAATATCTTCAAGATCTCAAGCTCGCTGTATTTAAGGGTATGATTTCTTGTTCACAAAAACATCCAAGCCATACCTGTTGTAAGCCAGCAAGAATGAAACAGTGATCCACATTTGGTATTTGTGAGTTGCGGAGAAAGTTTTCCTGACTTGATAGCATTTATATATCTATAACTGGTATAAGCATAAGTAGATAAGCTTTTTATGTCTTTTTCATCAAGTTTCGGAAGTTCTTCTCCATCTGGCAGAGGTGTAAAACTATAATTTATTGTCATATCATTTACATACTTAAAATTTTTGCAAACTGATCCTTTAAATCCATCCTTGCTATTTGTCAGACCATCAAGTGATATAATTAAATGCCTTAGCTTGCGTTCATTTGTATGTTTCATGCAAATCATCAATAGCATTTATGTCCTAACAATTTCTCAAGATGGGCATGAATTCCCTTTGACCATCCTGTGTTGGTATTAGTTGAATCTCCACCTATTAATAAGCATGATTCAGTAGCATTGTTTTTTGAAGCACCTCATAGAGTGCCTCAGCTATCTTTTTTGCAGGTTTTCCCGGATGTAAGGCAAGTTTTGGCGTGATATGAGCAAGATAACGTCCAGTTGGCTCCCAAGTTACACTTATATGTTCCTCTTTTATGACTCTAGGGTGAGGTTTTTTATACTTATCTGGAATTAACATTTTGGTCCAGTCTTTTCTTCCATCATACACAATTCGAACTATATTTTTGTTACTACATTTATTAGCTTCAATCATTGTATTTTCTTTCATTACATTATTCTTACCCATTCGCATTTTGTTTGGGTCAACAGAAAGGTTTTCAAAATCTCAGTTTCAACAAAAATCTTTCTCCTGACATATCAGGAGAAAGATAACCTGCAGCTATAAAATCTTTTATTATACCAGTGACTATAGCTGCCGTACCAACATTAGAAATATTATATCTTATTGCAGCTAATGGTGCATGTATTATGGTCATTTTGTTTTGTTTTAGACTTGGTTTTTCTAATTATCTTGTAACCAGTGATGCCAATCTACCAAGCTTTTCTTCATGCAACTTGTCGACCAAAGTTTTTGTTTCGTTATTTAGTTGAGCAGTATTTATAATGTATGTATTATTGTTGTTTTCTTCCAGCAAATTGAAAACTATTTCAGGATCCTAAGTTGTTTTAAAATGCAGTTTCTATAATATATATTATTACTTACCAATATTGGTAAGTAATAATATATATGATAGAATATATAAACTTTTAAATTCAAAAAAGTTCAATATGTTCATATGTATTAAACATTAAAAAGTTAGTTTTAAATTCTATTTTAGGTAGCGGTAAGAAATGTTTTAAACCAATTTGCATCCTAGAAATCTCTTTCTTTTTAAGCTTCTGCTAAAGAAGATCATGTACAGAAACTTTTTATAATATAGGACATGAACAAATGTGCACCTATCTTGCAGTTTTGGGATCATTGCAAAATGATGCTGCCTCTGTGTATATATTGATTGTATGAGTACATGCTATGATATTAAAGAGATTATTGAGGTCATTATTTATTTTATTGGTTGCTTCTTTGGATGGTTTTGTGTTTCTCTCATAGTCATAGTGATTTTTCCGAAACTGTAGCTGGTGGTTTAAACTGACTATTTGCTTTGAACCATTGAGCTGTCACCAGTTTAGCAAGTTATCTGCTTAATTCTTTTGTAACAAAATTATGTTTTCTACATTCAAACTATATTTCTTTTTTTTTCATAAAAGGTAGTTATAGGTTTAGTTTTTTTTCACAAATAATTTATATAATATATAGTGAATATCACTTTTGAAAATATTTTAAAAGTTCTAAAAAAAAGTTAAAAGCTAAACTTTAAAAGAATTCCCATTTTAATTACTGATCTTTTTGTGGATACCTCTGACAAAACAAATTCTTTACCTTTTCCAACAAAATTAGACAATTTAGTTACTAAATTATGTCTAGTTTTCACATTTGATGTATAATCACTTGTTGTTAGTACTTTAATTAAAAATAAAAAAAAGTACACATTTTTAAAAAATATTTGTGATTAGAATCTTTTTTATAAAAAAGTTTCTAGTGTATAAACGAATAAAATTTGAAGTCTCGGGTATATAAACTGAATAAAATTCTGCTTCTTTTGTTTCTTCGTTTTGAATATATCTTTCCTTAACAAAAGCAACATGTATTTAACAAAAGCAACATGTATTTAACAAAAGCAACATGTATTTAACAAAAGCAACATGTATTTAGACTAATTAACAATAGATAAAACATCTTCTACAAGGTCAAAAAATTAACCACAATTTTATCACATAAATCATTTTATCAAATATATATAATATGCATACTCACTGAGTATGAATAATATGAATGCATTATAAAAACAAACTTTATGATATTTTGATAACTAGTATTAATTTTACAGTGTGAGTATTACTCACCTTGAGAATTATACAATTGTTATGACACATTCTCAAAAAACTGGTAATTTTTTACAATAAACTATAAAATGCACAACTAAGGGTTTTAATTGTACTACCAAAACATTTTCAAATTAAAAAACATAAAAAAGAAACTCAAATTAAAATTTAATTTTACATAGGAATGTCAGTACGCTGTATTATTTTAATCAAGATGATTTTAGCAATGTACCCTAGTGAGCATTTCTTTTGACCATAATCACCAAGGTGATTATAGCCTAAGTGATTTTCATTTACTAAATATAAACTAAGTGATTTCCATTTACTACACATAAATGATAAAATAAAAAATTGATAATAATCCATGACCAAATTATTAGTTTTTTTGTTGTTTTTTTTAAATAAAAATTTTTAAAAAACATTTTGTTTTGATTTAGATATCTGTTATTGTTGAAGAGCAAAAAAAGGCTCTGAAAATAATGGTTGATGAGCATATTGAAAAAGAAGCTCGAATCAAGTATTCTCATTCTATACAACAAATAGATTTAATAGGTAAACTATTAAAGATGGCACAAGAAAATGATATTAAAAAACTTGCAGAAATAAATGATAAGTAAGGTTATTATAATTTATTTTTTTTTAAATAAAAAAAATTCTTTCTAAAGAAATATTATAAATTTCCAGCATTAATCACATTTGATAGAAAATTTTTTGTTTATTCCTTATTTATTTTAGTTCCATTTTTATTCCATATGTTCATTTTATGTGATAAGCAATGTTAATATGAAAAATACATTCAATACATACATACTATATATAAATAACAGAGATTACAAGTGAAGGTCATCACAAACAACAATTTATTGAAGTGATTCCAAAATTTCCCTTCTTTACCAAAAGTTGAGACTTTTTCCAAAATAAAAATATGAAGGTTTATTTAGATTTCATTTAAATTGAGATTTTTAAATTTTTAGAAACTTCTGAAGTAAAATAGTATTATTATTTATTGTATTATATATTATGTGTTATATTATAAAAAGTATTACAAAAATATACAAAAAAATAATGAATAAAAAAAATATACAAGACTTCACCCTTGGAATTAGGAAAAATGAGATCGGCAATAATTTGCTGACCTCAATCTTTTAGAGGTCAACATCATGTCAGCAAAAAATTTGGTACAAAGGTCTTACCATAAAACATTTATATGAGATTGGCAATTTTTTGCCGACCTCAAATACTTTGAGGTCGACAACAAAGAAAAAAAGAATTTTTTTTTGTAATATTTGTAAATGCTTTTGTTAAAAAAAGAGGAATCAAATTTTTTAGAGAAATAGAGAACGAGTTTGTACATTTTTGAGTAGTCCCGTTTCCTTATACTCATACATATTCATACATACTTTATGGAAGACCCCTTATTAAAATTAAAAAATTGAAATGACACTATTTGAAAATGGAATTGACATGTCATGGTTATTAAGAAAAGCTTATTGACTTCAAATGATCAATGACAAGTGTCATTCTTGTCGGGCATATTCTTCCCCTGACTATATTTAGCATAGTTTTATGCTTTTTTTTCCAGCAATGTAAATTGCCTTCATTTATTCATAAATATATTTTTGTTTAAAATGTAATTTTTTATTGTAGTTAATACTATGTAGATATTATATTATATGTTGTTATAGTTCTGGGATCAATCCCAGGATCCTGGGACTGGTCATTTTTGTTCTTGAAATTCCAAAATAAAAAAAATTTAACCTTTTTTATTATACATATATATTTTTTATTCCTATTAGTAAAAATTTTAAAAGATTTCTTCACTATATATACATAATTGTAACAATACCCTCACCCTAACCCTAAATTAAAAAAAACTTGTGACTGTCAAAAGTTAACATTTTTACCAGAATTCATACATACATATATATTCCTATAGTTTAACATAACTTAACGTTTGTGGTAAAAATGACTCTTTATGACTTTTTGTGTTTAAAGAAATTAAGTACACTTTATGTCAAAATGATTAATTTTATGTGCAATGATAGGGTGAGTCCAAAGAAGAAGTATATAAAAGATTTAGAGAGCTCATTGCATAGTCTAAACCAACTGAAGATGAATAAGGAGAAACTGAACACATCAGACACATAATGGAGTGACGCATATCTAGGTCAGAGACAAGGCACATCAAGGAGTGATGGTAAATGATTAAAGCTATCTGCAAAATAAGTCACAAAGTTGACTGTCTGAGTAAGAGAAATACAGAAGTTTTTTTAGTGCCAGCTGGGTAAGTGAGCTTAGCCATTTGGCGCGATAAGCATTAAAGTCACCAGTAACAACCAATAACAACATCAGCTGAGGGATAAAGAGAAAGGACTCGATTCATAAGCCAGTTTGATCATAAAATTGCATCTAGAAGAGTGCTGTCTTGAGAAGAAGGTAAATGGTGTTGAATTTAAAAGATCACAGACCATCAAATTGTCAGCATATCTGTCTAATAAAAAAATTTTGGGCTCTTCACAAAGTTAAAAAGTGCAGCTTAAAAAGTAGATTTTTGGGCTCTTCACAAAGTAAAGTCAATGCAGCTTAAAAAGTGGAGGAAATTTTGTGATAAAGTTCAATAAACGAGTGCTATAACTCTATATTTAATAAATAACTTTATATTTATTAAATATTGTGTATTTTGTTGTTGTTGTTTTTTTTTTTGTTATCATTAAGCTCTTTAAGTTAAATCAATTTTTTGACTCTATTTCTATATATATATATATAATTTCTCTCTATATATATATATATATATATATATATATATACATATATATATATATATATATATATATATATATATATATATATATATATATATATATTTTATTGTGGCTTTGACTATATTTATACTTTAATATTTAAATTTTATAACTCTTTTATTATTTTAACTGTTACCTTCATTTACTACTATATTTCTCAAGCATTTTGGTTATTTGCAATCCTGTTGTTGATGTTTAAGGGGCAAATTATGTGATTGCGAATTCCAATATATATAAAAATTTCTGGTCCTCAAATTCTCAGTTTAATCATCTTTATTAAAAGCTGTGTACACTTTTAATGAATAGGTTATCTTATATTGCAAAAATTGATGAAAAAATAAAACAATAAATTTATGGCTGCAAAATAATAACTGTAAAAACTTACAAATTCTAATTTATTGTTTGTTTAAACACCAGTTAATTTATGTAATATACATTAAAAATAAACTTAAAATAATATTTACTAAAGGTCATGTTTTATAATTAGATTTTTTATAATAATTTCAAGATCAATGCACAAATATTTTATTTGTGCATCAATTTGAGTTTAGAGTTTTCAAAAAACTAAAAACTTTAAAGACCAAAACCATTTCCAGATATCGCAATTTGCAATATCGTAGTCACCCTTTGGTTTTATTGGCAGTTTGAACCAACATGTTTTTGCAGTTACAGAAACAATGTTCAAAATTGATTGATGGAGGGAAGCAATGTGATAGTTTTTTATTGTTAATACATAAAATGAAAGATGTGAAACAACCTAATTGTTTTATGTTGTAAAAATATATTAATAGTTTTATCTAAAAAGATCATATTTCATCTTAAAAAGTTTCATTAAATTTTTGATTCTTTTTTTTTTTCCCAATTAAAAATTAATTTAATCAATCATTGCTTATGTTTAATCAATTGTTACTCATGTTTAGCCAATCATAACTTGTGTTTAACCAATCAAAACTTGTGTTTAACCAATCATCACTTGTGTTTAATCAATCATCACTTGTGTTTATAAATTTTGATTAATTACTAATTAAATATGTCACTGTTTAGAGAACTATCAGATTTGACAAAGGCACAAGCGCGTGATTCGATCCAAAGTATTAAAGATTTAGAAAAAGAGTTTGAAAACAGTAAAATGGATCGCATTAATAAAGAGAAGTATTTAACATCTTTATTCTTTTTAATTTTTCTAACATTTTTTTATTACACCAGTTTATTGTTATGAGTTTAAACAATCACTCTTTTTTAGAATTAAACGTGAGAGAGACAAATTAAGAATTGAGGAGTTTGGTATGCAGAGAAGAAAGGTTAACTTAATAATTAAGTTTGTTAAGTTTTTGTATCAACATGTTTAAAATGATTAAAATTGTTTTAATATTGACCTTATTTTAATGTTTTTATTAAATTTTATACAAATTATTACTATCCAAGTATGCCTTGTTCCTCACTGTAGTTCCAAAATAATTGCATCTAAAATCATAACATCTAGCTACTTATAAGAATTATATAACTTAGCAAAGTAATAAACTCAAATAAGAGTAATTCCAAATCAAATCACTCAAAGTTTAGGAAATTTTGAACCATGGATCTCATTTTTCAAACTTCTTTGACTTTTATTCTATGAACAGTAATAAAGAATTCAATAATCTCTGTTTGGTAATGAAGGATTCAATAATATTAAACATGTTACCTGATACACCTTAAGAAGGGAACTTATGGAGAAGACCAGCATGCCAAACTTTACCCAAGTTTGGCATGCTGGCAAACTTTACCAGGCTTTAGAAACTAGTCTGTATGACTTAACTTTGGGGCCCAATACCTCAAAACACCCTGTTAAATTTTTTTTTTTTTTTTTTTTTTTTTTTTGCTTTCAATATTTTTAATTTGGTATATTTTACATGTCACCAAAAATCTAACTGGAAAAACAACAGTAACATAGAACTATAATTTCAAAGATATATCACCAAAAAAAACTTGTTAACAGAATTTTGATCAAATAAATTAAGTTGTTTTATAGATTCTTTAGAAAAAGAAAAAAATAATTATGTTATATTTAAGGAAGTCTTGCATAATTACATATGAAAATTTATGATTTTAACTATTAAAAAACACATCATAAAAGATGAATTTGTTTATTTGGTTTATGAAATAATTCCTTAATATGGTTCGTACCAAGTAAATTATCTTATTAAGATGTTTTCTATTAAGATGTTTTCTATTGACTTAATGACATCAGTGGCATGCAAAGGCCAACAAGATGTTATAGGAATTTTAAACTATGAAAAAAAAAAACAATCATATCTTTAGGCTGTGACATTGAATTATCAAACTTGAAAATATTATGTGAAAGACCTACTGAAAATATTTGAAAATGTATTCAATATGGCAGAAAGCTTGTTGCAATTCATTCAATGCACATATAAAGAAAATTACTAGTAAGTAACTGTAAATTTTAAGTATTTATTATTATTCATAATTTTTAAAATTTAAATTTTTAAAATATAACAAAATAAAGTTTTAGACAAATGAGTAAATATAAAAGAGTCACATTCATGATTAAAATAGCAGTTTGAATATAGCTCCTGGAAAGAAACTCTGCAATCTTTTTAAACAAAATATTGCCAGAGGAGAATATCTTCCAAAAAAGAAACCAAGTCAGGGCGAACAAGATGATGAGGATTTTGTAATATCATCATTCAAAGTAAAAAGATAAGAGATTAACATATATAACCAAAATTTGAATATATCTCTTCTAAAAACTCATTCTAAACCATCAAAACTCTCAGATTGTTGAGAACTTTGATGAAATTAGATTAAAGAGAAAATTCTCTATTCTGGCAAAAGAACTATTGTTAAACTTCTTACACTGGCACCACAAGTAAAAAAATAAGTTACAAAATACCAGGCAAAGATGGCTAAAAGGATTTTAAACAAAAAAAGATTGTTGTTTATTTCTTCATTTTATAAAAGTAAAATCTTACATAAAGAATATTCTAATAAAATATGTTATGACTCAAGTGATTTATGTTGAATGATGTCTGGAAAAAAAGATTATGTAATTTTTAGAGAAAAAGAACTACAGATTGCCCAGCATTATTCGGTTTGCAGCAGCAGTTGTTCCAACTTTTCTTGAACTATTAGTATCTTACATTGAAAAGCTACAAGCTCATTCTTTAATTTCTTACTCACAATCAAAGTACCTTAATCAACTAAAACAAAATATGGATCAATCAAGCATAATAATTATTGGTAACTTTGCAAAAAACTATGCTTTTGTAGTTCAAGATAAAATACAGAGCTATCGCTAAAACACTCAGCTATGTTTTTTACATCTATTATGATATAATTAAAAACTAAAGTACTAAAGGCGATGAACATGTACTAAAACATACTTCTTATTGTTTTATATCAGTCAACTTTACACACAATTTAACATATGTGCACAAAATATATGAATTAATCTATAACTATTATTAACCTATACTAAAAACTAAAATGGGAAAAGTATTGTAAACTATTACAAATACAGTAAAAATAACTTACGTCTTCATTACCTTAAAAAAATTGGTATATTTTCAGTAACTTTTTCAATTACAGTTAATTTATCTTTATTGTATTTGCAAATATTTTTTAATAATCTCTTGAAAAAGTGATATATTTTTGAAATTATAATTCTATATGTTACTGTTGTTTTTTCAGTTATATTTTTGGTGACATCTAAGATTATAACTAACTAAGAGTATTAAAAGCAAAATAAAAAAATTTAAACAGGGTTTTGAGATATTTGGCCAAATATGAGTTATATAAACTTGTTATTTTATTAACTTTTAAGCATGTTTCTTTTTAACTTTAAAGTTCTTTTCATATTTCAGCATTTTAAGTAAATTTATTGAATTCTGCATCAAAAAATCATTATAAATGTTGATTTTTACCATGAAAACCAGGTCATTTTGGGAAACCAGGTCAATTTTTAAATTGCCATATATCATCAACTGCTCAACATTTTAAGCTGAAATTTTGCATACAATATTTTTTAAAAATAGAAATAATATGTCAAAAGGAGAAAGAAAAAGGAAGAAACAGGAATCGTATGTCAAAAGATATACAACCAAAATTATTTCAATCTGTCTTTAAGGTAATTTTTTATATCTGTGGTCCTCAAAGTAACTTTTCATATCTGTGGTTTTCAAAGTAACTTTTCATATCTGTGGTCTTCAAAGTAACTTTTCAAATCTGTGGTCTTTAAAGTAACTTTTCATATCTGTGGTCTTCAAAGTAACTTTTCATATCTGTGGTCTTCAAAGTAATTTTTCATATCTGTGGTCTTCAAAGTAACTTTTCATATCTGTGGTCTTCAAAGTAACTTGTTTTATTTTTAATCTTACCTCTTGAAAAATTTGTGAGACTTAAATACTTTCATCTTTGGACCTTAGTTTTAATAGCTATAATCCTTTGGTTTACAAGACTCCAATAGTCACATGCTTGACCCAGGCATATGCTTATGTTTTAATTCAATTTGTTTTAAATAATGAATCCTGTGACTATTTGTGTATTTTTTTCTTTTCAATTTTCTCTGTCCTTAGCTTTTTATTTTTTAAATTTTTGTTGACTTTATTTTTTTCTTGCATAAAATAATTTTTAAAATCTAAACTAACTTTTAAAGATATTTTTTTATAAAAACTTATAACAGTTAAATGCTCTTCTGCTGCACTTTGTTACAAAACCACTTTTAGAGCAACAAAATGTTTTAAACAAAAATCCTTTGTTTAATATTTTTTTCAATTTTCAAAAATATTAATGTGTTGTAAAAACATTTTCGAAATTAAAAAGGTATTACTCTGTAAAATCAAATTTTGTTACAGCAAAAACTAGAATTTTTGATGTGAAAAAAGAACTCTTCAAAAATTTAAGAGTTTACAACATAAGGTTAATGTAAAACACATTAAAATGAAAGTTTTAGTTCTTTGTAATAATACCTTTAAAATAACAGTAATTATTTGATGACTTCAAATCTATCAATAATAATAACAAATGGATAAAAATTGGAAAAAAAATGAATAAGTGACTTTAAATTGTTTGTACCAAAAACGTTTATTCACTTGTTTCGCTTCTACTTGGTTCTCGTCTTTTTTTGGTTTCCAGTTTGCTTAATATATACATCAAGCCTAGGCTGACTTTGTTAAAGAAAAGAAGATGGCATACTAAAATGTGAACTTTCCAGCTTATACTTAAGTGTTAGTTAAACATCTCCAGGAGATGAAACTGCAGCTTTTTTAAACCTAAAACTGCTGATTCAGCAATAAATTCTCTGATTACTAAAACTAAAATAGCTAAGACTTTTGTTTGAATAATTAACAAGTAAATTTAAATACGAATTTTTAAAGCCCAAATCTTTTATATGTTATTAAAACACAAATTTTACAATCAATTTTTTCTGATATAACTGTTTTATTTTATTAAAATAAAACAGTATGCATGTGTAAAAAAAGGAAGATGCTGGTCTTGAACCGCAGACATTCTGTTTAGGTAGTCAACACCTTATCCAAATATCCTAAACGCGCATATATGAAAGTATGAAAACAATCAATATACTTATTTTAACCATTATTATTCTTTTTTCCATTAAAAAAAAAAAACTTAATTAAAATTAACTAAATTAATTGACTTATTAGAAAGCTAATTATTGAATATTGTATTGTCATCAAGCAAGAGTATGTATGCAAAATTTTAAGGTAATCTATCATCAGGAAGTGACTCAAAAATTGATAGCAAGATTTGATGCTCACAGACAAACAAACAAACAGAGACAACGAGTTAATAAAAGGATTGGTAAAAACATTTTAAAAAAACAAACTGTTACAGAAATATTTGGTAACATAGAGGCTGTACAAGGTTTACTTTTAGATTACCTAATTTGCCTATATGTTTCTGTGAATTGCAAATCTCTAAGTCAATTACTTAAACAATGTATCAAAATTCAGGCCACAGTGTGATTGATAATTTTCCAAACATTATTATCAAACATTATTACTAAACATTGTTACAAAAAAAATGTCTAACACTGATTGAGTTATTGTGTGTGCGTATATATATATATATACTAGCTGAGATCGGCCCTCTAAAAATACGAGTCTTTGTATATCTATTCCAAACCGAGCTTTTCTATACTTTTTCCTTGTATATTCTAGCTTTCCGGATCCGTAAAATACAGGTCTTTACCAATTTACATATCTATTTCTAGCCAAAAATTTCTATACCTATTCCTTATTTACTTCAATATTTTTTAGTAAAATAATTAATTCTGAAAAAAAATTTAAGAGCAAAAAACTAAACATGCGTACCTTTTCCGCATACGTAGAGCTTATAAGATACTTATAATTAGCTTTGTTTTTCTGTTAAATGCATTACATTGATATTTCAGTGTTGTTTTGGTGGGTTTAAGTTTTGAAATTTTTTCAATCTTGCTTATATATATTTATAGCAAAATTATATATTTATAGCAAAAAAATAATAATATAGCAAAAAAGATTTCTAAAATTTTAAATAAAATTTTAAAGTTTTCTCATTTTATAGATATATAGATGGACGCAATTATTCCATATAATGCCTGGAAACTCAACATATGCTAAAGACATTTACACTTACAGATGTTTGTATGTAACGTTATACAAATGGAACTAAGAAGATCTTAAAGCAATAAAACATCGTCATTAAAAAAAATTCATTCTTATGATTATGATTAATAACTAAAGAATATTATTAAACGCTGATCTAAAAGTTAAGCCAAAAAGATTTTGAGCATTGACATCAGTTTGTGGGAAAATAAACCTTTATGCGTCAAGTTTCCTTTTGCATTTATCTTACATTTTTTTTATTAATTTTTATTATGTTGCATACAATTGCATTAAAAAATATAAAACTGGTACAGATATATCATTTTCACGGATAAGAGATTGTATTTATTACAATAGTAATAAATAGTTTTAAAGCCATCCGTAAAGGACGTCATCATTTTTAGCCAATTTTTGACCCCCTCCCCCCTTTATCACCGGTTTTTCTTTTTCCCTATACCCCCTTGAAAAGGACGTCATAAAATCCTGTCCCCCATCAACCAAATTAAACCCCCCCCCCCCAAAAAAAAAATTATTTGTCCTTTCAATGATGTTTGAATCTGCTGCTTCACCTTTGAAAAATAAAATTAAAAGTATTCTTATACATTATCTTCTTAAAAACACATATTTACATATTTTTTCATGTTAATTAAACTAAAATAAAAAATCTATATTTTTAAAAATTTATTTTGTATTTTAAAATAATCGAAAAATATTATTTTTTAAATATCGAAAAATATTATTTTTTATTTAAAAATAAATTTTTAAAAATATTATATTTTTAAAAATTTATTTTGTATTTTAAAATAATCTTGTTCAGAAGTTCGACGCCTTATCCACTCGAGCTACACCGGCATACAATCTGGCGTAGATTTTTTAAAATAATAAAATAATTTTTTTGAGGGAAAAAATGTTATAGATCAAAAAGGAGAGCTTGACGCAATGTAATTTTCAAGTGAAAATCAAACTGTAAAACTTGATAACTGTTTTAGTATGTTTTAACATATGCTTTAACATTACTTAGTTTAAAGTTTACGTACGTTAGATATTCGTTCACGTTTTCTTATAGTGCTGCGACTCTTTCTTGCCAATTTCCCGGTTGCAATGGCTGCGAAGGGTTTCTTGTCAAACACGCTCTAAGGGACACTACTATTAAAACTATTAAGTTCGTCATTATTATTTAAAAGATATATATATATATATATATATATATATATATATATATATATATATATATATATATATATATAGAGAGAGAGAGAGAGAGAGAGAGAGAGAGAGAAATAGATTTAGAGAAAGAGAGAGAGAAAAGTAGATAGATAGATATATGTATAGCCTTATATAAAAACTTCTTATCAATGATGATCATTTTAAGCTTTCATTCAACTTAAAATATATCAATAATATATTTATATAATATTTAACATTAACTTTTAACATTTGAACAATACCTTTTTTAGAATTTGTAATATTTTAGCTTGTTCTAAATCAGCAGAAACGACAAGAAAAGCTCATTGAAAAGCATAAAAATGAAAATAAACAATTTGAAGATCAACGGAAAGAGGTTATTTTGTTTGTATAATTTTTTATTTTATTTCATGCTTTGTTTTGTTTTTCTTTTTTTTCTTTTTTTTCTTTTTTTTTTTTTGTTGTTGTTTTATTTTTTATACTTCTAATAATACTGATTTTTATAAGATTTTTTGAATTTTTAAAGTAATTAACAAAAGCAATAATTATATATATATATATATATATATATATATATATATATATATATATATATATATATATATATATATATATATATATATATATTATATATATATATATATATATAAATATATATATATATATATATATATATATATATATATATATATATATATATATATATATATATGTATATATATACATGTGTATACATGTGTATATATGTATATATATACATATGTATATATATATATGTACATATATACATATGTATATATATACATATATATATATATATATATACATATATATATATATATATATATATATATATATATATATATATATATATATATATATATATATATATATATATATATATATATATATATATATATACATATATACATATATGCATATACAATTAAGTATTAAAATTTGTTAAAATATCTATAAAGGTAATATAATAATACAAAATGTAATTATTTGTGTATTATTGTGTATTATTAGTTTGTAATACAAAATGTAATTATTTGTATTACAAACTAATAATAATATAATTACCAGGTTTTAACCATTCTACATTATGTGTATCTTTTTAACATATTCTTTTGTTATTTCTATTTTTTTTAGTATGACATGTTAAACTTTTTAATTTTATGTTAATGAGGAGGAAGAGGGGGGGCAGGATTCAGTAGGAAAAACAATGATTGAGGGTTTTCACTTAAGCATAAATAAGTATGAAATAATCATTTTGATTAAAGAAATATTTTATCTTTATCAATATTAAAATATCTCATCACCAATAACCTCAGTCAATTTTTAAATTTAAAAAAATTGAATTAGGTATAAATAAAAATTATTTGCTATATTTTTTAAATATTTTGATATAAACTTACTTCAACTTTTAATAAGGAAACTAAACAAACATTTTTATGAAAAGATAAGTAGCTGCATCAGCATATCATGATGAGAATTACCTGAAGTGAATCGAATGTAGATTTTGTACAAATGCTGATGTTATTTAGATTTTTCCTTAGTTACCTTTTAAACCCATTTTTACTTTACTTTGTTATTTGACAAGTTTTTGTTCAAGATGTGTTCTATAGTACTATTAACGCATCCAAACATGCTTGCTGAGTAGCACGTAGTTATTCTCAAATTGCATTCGATTAACTGCTTTAAACGCTTCTTTTATTGGTCCGCCAGACCTGAGTCGATCTTGCTATGTTACGTCGCTGTTATGAAAGTGTTGAAACCAACACTTTAGACACTAAACTATCCAAAAAAAACTGACCTATTGGATTGCATTCCGTGTGGTTTCGGCTGCTAAATGGCCCAATTGAAACTTATAAAGCAGGCAGTGCTGTTCATCTACTTTAACGTCAACTTTTTTTTTGCGATATAAAGTAGTTGTAATGCAGAATTTTTAAATGTTTTTAGACCTTCAAATAATTGCTCATTACTTTTTAGGCAATCTAATAGTTTATCATTTCTTATTTCCAAAAGAGTATTTCAAGAAGCCCATTCTACATTATAACGATAGAACCTATTGTATAATTCCTTAATAGCATGACTTAGTAGCTCCTGGTTCGTCGTCAAATTTTTTTGCTGCTATATTTAAACGAATCTATTAACTTAATTGCCCTGAACCACGTCAAACCGTCATTTAATTATATTACTTTTTAGTACTATGCATTTATCTATAAAAGTGAAAATATTTTTATTTGAGAATTGAAAGAAATACACTTCACGTTTAAAAATGAAACCCATATTGTTTTTATTTTTTGATCAGCGGCAAAGTTTCATAAGTAAACTTAAATTAAACATTGATTTATTAGTAAAGCTTTTAAGAACATCTGTTACTAAAGCTTTGTTGTTGTTTTCTTTTTAAGGATAAAATGATTCAAATAAAGTTGCAACAAGGAAAAATTGATAATTATTAATTCTTCTAATCAAATAATATTACTTATTTGCTATGATTTGCAACATGGTTTTTTCAAGATGGATTTGAAAAAAAAATCATTTCCAGTCTACAAAAATATTTAAAGTATTAATAATGTGCAGAAAGCAGCCAGCCATTAAAAACTCAAACTGAGATAAAAACACTTTTGTCTTAACGTTGAATAATCAAATCTATACGGAAAAAAATTTTGTTAGGCTATGAATTTTTATTGTGAATTTTTGTATGAAAGCCGCCTGGCTGGTTTTAGTTAGAGCATAGAATTGACCTTCCTTAATTTGAATTGATCAATATTTTAATTTGGCCAAAATTGAGAACTGACTGCTTTCTGCATAATTACAGTCAGTAAAATAGTTGTTATCGTTTGCAATATTGTTGGCTTCCTTAATTTTATATGCAACTCAATGTTATCATACGAGGTTTATAAATCAAGACTAAAAAAGATTTACCCCCTGCATGAAAAGTTGATGTTGCTTTTGTCGTTTGTTGATATTGTACCTGCAAATATTAAATATTGAACCTGCTTTTATTAAAACATCACTTAAAATTACTTTTAAACCTGTTTAACTTGGTTCCGATAATTTTTTTTACTTGTGTCTATTAAATTTGGCGTTTAATATTCACTGCTCCATCTTTCTTTTCCAGGTACTTTTTTTTTTTATATAAAGTAGCTCAACATATTTGGTGTTAGTACTGCTAAATAACGCTGTTTATAAATATTTTAAGACTAACAGGAATTAACACGACTAACACGAAGTAATACGATTAACACGAAGTAAAACGACAGGAAGTAGAACACTAGCAACATCATAGTTGAAAACTCTTAAATTATGAACTCTGAAATTTGAAAAGTATGAGTAAAATGATCAAATGATGAACCTCATTTATAACATTCAAGAGATGTTAGAAAAACAAAACATTAATAAAATGAAAGCAAATGAAAATTCATCAAATTGAAATTTCGTAATTCCGCTTCAAACTTAATTTATTCTTTTATAATATCACTAATGTATACCATTCTTTATTTACAAAATATTTATATAGGTTAAAATTAAATGAGAGTAAATTGGAGCCAGTTTTTTTATTATGAATAATAATAGGTTAAATATATAGGAGTTTCCGTGCGTGCTTTTTTGGAAATGCCTTATATTAAAAGCAACATCAGCAAAGATTAATAGACTATGCTAAACCTGTTTTATGTAAATAGTTTTTGTTATGACTTTATAATAACTGTTTTTAGATAATTCAACTCGGCTACGAGCCAATTATCCGACATATTAAGCAAGCCCAAACGTTGATAAGTCTTCATCAACAGAAATTGTAATTTTTTATGACTTTTTATAAGTATTTTTTTATATTTTTGTAAATTATTTTTTTATAACTTCAAGTAAATATATTTATTTAGTCGTTTTTAATAACCTGTGTTAACTTCTTTCTGTGAAGTTCGTATTAGATTGATTGGAAATGTTTTGAATTGATTGTATCACCAATAGTTGATATCTATTAAAATTATTATTGCTCACTATTCTGTGTGTCTATTATATATATATATATATATATATATATATATATATATATATATATATATATATATATATATATATATATATATATATATATATATATATATATATATATATATATATATTTATTTATTTATTTATATATATGTATATATTTATTTATTTATATATATGTATATATTTATTTATATATATTTATTTATATATATATATATATGTAATATATTTATTTATATATATATATATATATATATATATATATATATATATATATATATATATATATATATATATATATATATATATATATATATATATATATATATATAAATACATATATATAAAACAAAATTTGTAAAAAACTTGTTTCCTGCCTTTTTTCCTATTTGTTTATGCATTGTTTTTTTTTAGAACTGTTATAAATTAATTAAATAAACCATATAAAATGAATATCAAGCTCATATTTATTGCTAAAAACTTAAAAATCTATATAAAAAGTTTATTTTTTTAAATTGCAAATTATTTTTCTCTTTATTCTAGAACGTAGAATTCTCGCAAAAAAAAATTAAACAACACTCCAAAGTGATTTAGAAACATTAAAAATCTGGCTAAAATACAGATTTTTATATAGTGCAGTTTAAATAATGTTATTAGGTAACTATTTATAACAATTTTATGATTCTGACGATATAAATAGGGTAGAGCGGGGCTAGTTGAGCAAAAAAAAAGTTTTGCTATTTTTCTCTCGGATGTTTATAAACTTTTTTACCTGCTATCACTTAAGTATTGATATTTTACCAATTTATCGGACTTTTAATTAAAATTAGCCTAAGTCCTAATGTTCTCTTTAAAACCTAAGTAATCACGGCGTCAATTTTTGTCCAATTGCGTGTTTTCACACTTACAGTCATAGTTAGGGCAAACCATGTAAAAATAACAATAAAATGTTAATAGACCAATCAATATCAAAAGTTTTTGCGAGTGGTTTCTATCGGTACAGACATTTTGCGCTAAAATTGAACTTGATTGATAAGAATACAAAGCGTATGGATCATTGGTCTACGATAAGAATATAAAGCGTATGGATCATTGGTCATTGATCTATTGGTCTTTTTTAATTATATCTTGAGATTTTACTCTCACATTAATAACATCAAATTGATATTTGCAGAAAAAATATTACAAAAGTTGGACATTCCAATTATAATTGAATCAGTGTTTTTTTCAAAGGGCGGATTTGCTTAAAACTACAAAATGCTTTTGTTTTGAAAATGCAACATATAAATGGATATTAATGAATATAAATGAGAGAAATACAGTTTTTTAAGATATTCAAAAATTTGTATGAAAAAGTATTAATATAAAACATTTAAACCAGTAAAAATAGAAAGTTTGTGAATTACTTATAAAATGTAACATTATATTCAAATAGTCGTTTGAATATACTAATTATAATTCCTAAAATACTTTTTGTAGCTGTTTATACTTTTTATTAGTACCTGTCTTTACATTCCAGGAAGTTTTTCAAATATAAAACTGTTGTAATCAATAATAAACTTCAATAATAAGAACGTTTATCAATTTAATAATTAACTTAATAATAAGTTAATAATATGTAACTAAGTAAACAAATTATCCTTCATAAAAATATTTAATGAAGTTACATTGCAAGTATACTAAAAAAAAATGCAGAAAAAAAAACCAGACAGTTTTAAAATTTAATGAAAATAACTTTGAAATTCATGAACACGAAATAAAAAATAGAAAAAAACACAAAACAAAAATATAAAAGTAAAAATAATAATTAATATAAACAAAAATGAAGATCTAATAATAAAAAAATATAACTTGGAACTTTTTTTTTTTCTTTGAAAGCCTGTCAAATAAAATAAAAAGTAATACTTAGTGTGTTTAAATATTCTAATAACACAATAATGCAGAATAAACATAAACTTAATTCATAAAATAATCTAATTGCATTTTATAAAGATGGCTTTTATAGTTTTAGCCAATTAATTTCTTTTATATTTAGCTATTATAAAGATGGCTTGTCCGTTTTTCTACAGATACGAGACATGAAAGGAATAAGCAATTACGCGAGCATGCGTACTTTTGTTCCTAAAAAACTTAAATTTAAACTACGCAAGCTCATCATTAATTGATTATTTTTTCTAACCCAGTAGAAAAATGGTGAATCGGAAAGTTATATATGTACTGAAATAGGTTGGCCTCTTTTGTCGAACTTCTATTCCGTTGGTGCCCATCACGTCCGAAGGCATAAAAATAATATTCTTTTATTAGATGAAAAGACGGCCGAGTAGATTATAAAATCAGCTACATTTTTATAATCAATCTGCCAATTAATTTGGCTGATCACATGCACACAAAGCAATCAAAATTGAAAGTTAATCCTAGAAAGAATCAATAGTTTGGATACTTAAGTCTTGTGCACAAAAGTTTTTTGTGTTAGGCAGAAAACGCCTTACCAACAAAAGAGGTGATCTGCCAAATTCTAATATTTGATCGGCCAAATATATCGCCAGATCACATGTTAGAATTAGGTTGTTCGGATTTCCGCAAGCTCAGGTACAATGTATAACGTTTGATTGAAGATTGATGGTAAAACGAATTCATCAGTAATTTAACTTTTGATGGATTATAATTAATATTTAATAGTTTAATGTTTAATTGACGCTTATTTGGCGAATCACAATTAGTGCTGTGACTAGTGGGTCCCAGGCCCAAACCTACCAATAGGGCCTAAAAACTTTAATGAATTTCCAAATAGGTCCCTTAAATTTGTTGTCCCCCTTTTTGGGGCGTGGGGTAGCCTAGCCACGACTCTGATCACAATATAATAATTATAACATTTGTTCTGCCGAATTAATTGTTAGATCGCTTATAAGAATTCAGCTTATATAATAATCCAAAAAAAGTCTCCAATAAGAAGAATTCAACTAATTTTATAATCCGCTTTGCTGTTTGTACCATATAAATGATCTGCTCTGTTAAATCGCCCTACCTGCTCAGCCAATTGTACCTACCCTAAAAAGATTTAATAGATTAAATGTTTAAAGATTTGCAGGCTGTCTGTCCAAACTCAAAACCTTAGTTGATGTGTATGAACTCCAAAGTTTACACACATCAAACTGCGCGGAGTTTACAAATCCTTGCACATTTTAGTTTATCCTCTTTATCTATTTATCCAGTTTATCCTCTTTATCCTTATCCAGTTTATCCATCTCAATATATCATCTATCCCTGCATATACAGTTTGCTTAGATAGCCTTAGTTTAGTTTTGGAGTTTGGAAAGAGACCAAAAATAGATCAGAATAAAGGTAGCGTCGTTAAAGTGAAAAGTTTAAAAGCAAAAAGATGTTAAAGCGAATTTTTTTTTTTTTTTTTTTTAACAAAACAACCTGGTTATCTTTGTTTTTAAAACGTTTAATTCAATTATGTTTTTATTAATAATTTCAAACAAGGCCGGCGCGATAGGGGTGTGTGTGTGGGGGGGGGGGTGGTGGTGGTGTCACACACCCCATCAATGATTTTTAGTCGGCAAACTGGACCCTTAGTCGGCAAATTGAAACGTTTTAGACTAGTTAGTCGGCAAATAACCTTTTCGATATAGGTTAGACAGTCGGTAAATGTCGTCATGACAGTCGGCAAATTTTGGATTTTTTTTTTTTTTTTTTAGTCGGCAAAGTTGTTATGGCACACACACACACACACACACACCGCGTAACACCTACTCGCGCCGGCCCTGATTTCAAATCATATTTTATCAACAACTTTATATTATTATTTTTACTAGTACCTATTAGGTACTTACTAGTACCTACTAGGTACCTACTAAGTATATTAAAATACATATTAGATATGTTTTTACTAAAAAAAAATTCTAATAGTAAATTAATGCTAATAGAAACCAGTAACTTTTTAGTTTTAACGACCTTGAACCAGAAAAATGGATCGAAAACTAAATAGTACGTTACGGTCCGAATAACAAACATTGACTCACAAAAAAAGAAATTGGTAACTGAATTAATGAATTCACGTCGTATAAAATTACATCTCTAATGTACAAATATGTCAGAAACGATATCGAAATTGGACGAGGTTGTTCCTTTTCAAGCTCTTGTTACTCTTCACGACTCACTTCAAAAAATATCGCGGAAGCATAAGTCCTCCTGTGGTACATCTTTTTTAAATCAAGTAAGGTTGATTGATTGTTTCTTGATATGGTTTCTTGATATGGCAATTAGATGCTATTGAAAATCAATTGTTGACATTTTTTTTTTTTTACAAAAATAAAAAAAACTCCTTTTTAGGAAAACTAATTTGTGACAAAAAGAAAAATAAATAAGTAAAGTGTAATGTTAAATTCAAAGATATTATTAGAAGCAGCTGTTAATAACTAAAAAATGATAACAAACTTTTTATTTTTTGATGTCATTTAAGAAAGTTATATTTTTCAAGCACAATATTTTTTTAAGGGAAAGTTGAATAAGGTTGTGACTGTAATTTATAATTATGAACTTAGTTACAACTTCCATAAAGATCCAATTTAGTAAATGAGATCATTTTTTTAAAAGTTGTGATTAAGTTCATAATTACAAATTGCAGTCACAACGTTATTACTACTGCTGTTTAAGAAATATTTTCTTTCAATTTATACCAAATTTATGTAACTAGGTAAAATACAATATGCTCATGATGGTGCCACCACTGAAGGTGAAGGAGGATGATGTTTAGCAGGACTTTAACACACCCATGACTTGCTTTGCATTAATATTATGAAACTGGTTGCTGTGTCTCTATAATAAAATACTCTAATAGCTTTAAATTAAAATTTTGTACTGTCTCTAAAACAGCAACAACTAACTTATAAAATAATTTCATAGTCCTGATAAAGTCTTTCCCAATAACTGTAAGACTAGTTGTCTTTAGCTGTATTTCCTTTTTAACTGTTTAACTATTAAATTTTTAAACTAGTTTGTAGCTTATACATGAAAATGTACTGGTGCTTAAAAACTTAACAAACAAGTTGACCTGCAAGAGCTAGATATTGTCTTAAGAGTTTGATAACTGAATGCAGTTTTACTTGACAACTGATCTATTGCTATAACATGACACTGTGCAGCCCTTAGAATTAGGGTCAGCAATGCCAACCCAACTCCCAACCTAAAAAAACAAAAAGTTATAATGTTTTAAGTACCGAAATTTTGATATATGGATTTGTTGAAGAAACTGTGGTCAAAATAATATTTTTCTATATTAACATCATCATAAATTTATCAATTCTTATATAAATGCCTATAACTTGGTATCAAAAGGTGTTAGAATAGGCTACAAATTCATATTGGTTGCTAGCCATAGGGCATATTGAGAGGGGTGTATTGGGCACCGAACCAACAACTTACCCGCTAATAAATGCAAATTTTATACATTAAAGAGTGATTTTTTGTGGAAATTTTTAATTTTCATATACAAGAAGTAGTTGTAATTTGCTTCAGACCATTGCCAAGTATGAAAAGTTTATTTTTGTATTATGGTGGGTGTAAGGGTGTCAGTTTAACACACCCTATAACTAAAAAAATATTTTCAATAAATATTTTATCTTTATTAAAAAAAAGTAAATCTAATATTAATTACATAAATTTCTCGTCTTTACACCAGTAGCCCACATTTAGAATCAAGGAAAGGGGTATGTGCCACAACGCCCCTCCAACCTAAAATAACAATTAAATTTTTGTAATGCGATTTAGAAAAAGATTTAAATGCTATTATTTAAAATAATAAAAATTGCAAATCACACCATTTGCGGTACCTTTTCTGTAAGTCCCACTACTTGTGGTACCTATTTTTCAAGTCATACCACTTGCATTACCATTTTTGCAAGTCACACCACCTGCAATATTTTCTTTGCAAGTCACACCATATGCGGTTCCTTTTTGACAAGTCACACCACTTGCCATTACTATTTTGCAAGTCACATCATTTGCTGTATATTTTTGCAAGCCACACCACTTGCGGTACTTTTATTGCAAGTCACACCGCTTGCTGTATCTGTTTTGCATCGCCATAGTTACCTAGTATTAAAAATTATATTTTACTACTTTCCAATGGTGACCTACATGTCAAATCAGTGAAGGGGTTCTGCCTCCCCTCCTCCCCTTGTAGTCTAAAAAATTGCAATTATGAAAAAAAAAGCTGTTTAAATGAATAAAAACAATTTAAAAAATATCTTACTGCATTAGATGCAACAAAGTATCCATTTTTTCAATACTTTTTTGCAAGTCACACCACATGTAATACTTCTTTTTCTATTAGACAGTAACATTAAAGCACAATAACATTAAGTAACATTAAGAAAATATCAACTCTCCTGATACAATATCAGCAGCAAGTTAAAATTTTTTCATGCAATGGTCAATAACTTCTGAATCAGTTTCATCTTTTTTCCAGTAGGAAATAGTATAAATTCTGTCTTCTTTTCTTTTATTGACTTTTTCTACTCTCCCATCATAAATTACAGACTTGCTATTATCTGTATCAACCCATTCATGGGAGAGTTCTCTTCCAACAATTCTTTCATACATTATATCATATAAGCCATCAAGTTGCTCAGTAGACAAGTGCTCATATAAATTCTTTATTTCATTGGATTTGCTGGATTGGGTTTGCAATCACTTATTGTTTCCAAAACATCTTTAACTACCTGGATACCAGTGACATAATCAAAGTTTGCATCTTCAGCTGATACATAAAAATAAACCAAGCACACATTTGTTTTATAGCAGTTGTGTTACAAAATGCTGCTCACAGAACTATTTGTTAAGTTCCAGAGGTCAAAATCATTAAAATCATTACAGCGTTTAATTAAAATAAATATTCATTTTTTAGAGACTTTAATGCTCAGTCGCAATTGTGTCAAGAAGGTGCAAGTGGCTGTTTAGTTCATTCACAGTTTTTCCCCATTTCTCACAAAGTTTGCATATAGTAAGATGGTTGGCTGCTACTCTGTCTGACATTGTGTTTAGTATATTTGAGATAATCAAATTACAACAATCCTCAAAGGAAAGCATATGAAAATTGGAATAAATTGAAGCCATATTATTCACTGCGTTACCTATATGTTTTTCATAATCATCAGACGTCCCTCCAGGCAATTGATTCAAAGCAATGACCTGACATTTATTTTTTGACGTTAAGTGGACACTATTAATATGAGCACTTTCCTGTATGGTGGCATCAAACCCAGGAGTAAGATTTTTATTGCAAATGGCCCACTCTTCAGCTTGCATGTCAGATATGCAACCAAACTCACAAGCCATTTGCTCAATGGTAATACGCTGGAGAATATGCAACAAACCAACACCAAAATATTGTGCAGTTTTTTCCAATAGAATTGGAATGTTACCTGTTGGAACATTACATAATAACATGCTATACACTATCATTTTAGTTTGTATTGAGTAAGCTTTATTATCTCCTGGTGTAACTGAAGCAATACAATCAACCTCCTCCATTTAAGTCATATCATTTTCTAATCTAGCAATTTCCATTTTATTTTCTCTAGTAACAGTATTATGTTTGAGCATTACTTGTCTTAGCTTTTCTCTAGCTTCAATTTTCAATTTCTTTTTTTTCACAAGATTGCGAATATGCCTATTGTAGTAACATGATTGAAATTTTTGTTTTAAGTTTCTATCTTCTGCTCTCAAAGCTTTTACAATTTCTTCTTTTCTTTTAACGCTTTGCCTTAAAACTTTTATTTTGTTTGGCATGTTTTTTAGATTTCAATAATGTCATCTTGTAACGTTATTCTTTAAAAGAGTTAGCAAGTTGTGCTTTGAATAACTGACTTTTTATACGAGTCATTTTTTCTCGAAAATTATGCATGTTTTGTTTATTTTTGTTATTAATTGTGGGAGTTAGCTTTGCACTACTTCCTGGAGATATAAAACTGATATTTTCTGATGATGCAATTGAAGAACAAGAAATAGTATCAATTGGACTAAAGGTAAATGGCAATGACTGTGAGATTGTCATCATTGGGGCATGGAACACAAATGGCTCGTTGCAAAAGTCAGCTATATCAGTGGTATTTCTTGAAAAGTTGTAAGACCATTTTTTTACTACACTAACGAGTTTTTGGATTTCATATGTGCAAGTGTTAAAGCTAAAACACTTATAAACTTATACAATAGTTTTAATAAATAACTCTCCATTTTTAATAAATATAATGAGTAATGCCCGTTTCTACAATCAATGCTTGTTTCGGTAGCCAATGTTAAGTTAGCGACTATATTTTTTTTAAATGGCCATTAAGCATCATTTTTATTTTGGGAGGCATGATACCTTTAAAAATTATAAAATTATTTAATTGCATAACTAATGAGCAATAGGATAACTACATAAATATAGAAAAATATAAAAATTAGGTAAGTGAAAGTAAAATAAAAGTTTTAAATACTTTTGGTACCCAACAGTTGGGTTCAAAATTTGAATTCTAAACACTTTCTATATAGCACAGAATTGTTAACTTCTTTATTAATTTTTAATAAAATCTAAACATAAAAATTTCTACCTTTTTAAAATTGTACATCAATATAAAATATATATTACAAATTTACTTTTGCACTATGTACGAATATACAATATATACTAATGTATGAAATCAAAATAAAAAATCTAATACAATTTAATCCTTAATTAGATGCAATTTCACAGGGCATTTTGTACATAACTGAAATGTTTACTTTATTCAAATGGCAAAAGAAATGTAAAGTTATATTAGATAACAAAAATTAAACACTGTTAAATTTCTTACAAGTAAATATAGTATGGCTACAGCCCTAACTGGTTGTTACATACTTTCAGATGAATAAAACAAGGGTGGGTGGGAATAAATGGACAGGTGAGAATTTCCTTACATATCTAATAAATGGTGGGTCTAAAAAAAGGGGTAAGCATTTTTCAAAAATTAATATAAAAATACCTTCTTTGTACTAAGCATCTGAGCATACTTTTAATGAGTGAAACGTTCTTGGAAATTCAAATATTGACATTCTTTGTCAGTTACTTTTTGTTCTATTATATTAATAGGAACTATAATAACTAATCATTATTTAACATTACAAATTGGGTTAAAAATATAAAAAAAAAAATGTTGATGTAAAAGTTTACAGCTGCAGCGTCTCTATCATCCCTATTCACTCCTTTGCTATCATCAAGCATACTCCAATTTCTATACTTGTTTTGTTGCCAACTGCACCTATAACCTTTATGCCTACTTTCTTTCATTATTTTGCTTTCATAGCTTCTTGGCTGGTTCCAGTAACCATTTTGGTGAGAATCTTTTGTATTTTGGTTCCAAGCACCCTCGTATGAAGGTTTAACAGACCACCTAAAAGATGGAATGTCCTTCCCCACACCTGACCCAACTCTTATAGGATTTATTAGAGTAAAGCCCAGGGTGCCTGGACGTGTACTTTTTATAGTTGCTGTATGTTAAACCTAAAACAAACTAGCAATACATAAAGCTTAAAAAAAATACATTTTTTTGTAATTTTATTCAGTTGGGTCTTGTAAAATAATTGCTTTCATAGTTTTTGAGTATATATCAACTCCATATTTCAACATTGGATTTATTGAATTCCACCAAAAAAAGTATTTTTAAAATGTTCATATTTTTCCAATTACTATTTCTTGTTTTATTATGAATAATATTTGTAAAAAAATTCAGTGAAAATAGAGACATTTTTGAAAAATGGACCAATATTAAAATTGCAATATCTTGGAAGTTGTTATTTATATAATTTTTTATGAAATAAAATTTTTATAAGATTTTAATGTGAAAGGGAAAATATGTTTACTTTTTTTTCTTTAGGATATTTGTGAAGAGCCCTCACCTGAAAAAAAGCATTTTCACATAGATCCAATAAATTTGAATATTTTTACTGAGCAAACAGAATCAATTTCATCTCAAGTGAGAAACCCGTTTTTTGAAAGTTGTTTAAGAAATAAAATATTTGTAAATTTGCAAAGTTGCTTGAAGCAATCTGCAAGTCGTCGTTGGTGTTATTATGAATGGTTTTACTCTAATATTGATAGAGCATTGCTTCTAGATCAAAATGACTTTGAATCATGTTTACAACATTTGTTTAAAAATTTAAAGACCAGAATGTTAACTAAAAGACAATGGTCAATAATAAGACGAATGATGGGCAAACCAAGACGCTGCTCGCCTGCTTTTTTCAATGAAGAAGTTAATTATTTAAATGAAAAACGTAAGAAAATTCGTTATCTTCATCAGCTGAAAGGTTTTGAAGTTGCAGACATGATGCAATTTAAAGGTATTTGCTCTTAAATGTAGAGATAATAATTTAATAATGATAATTTTTTAACGCAAATAATTGTAAATAGGCTAGTACAAGAATTTTTTTCTTATTTCAATAGTTCTATTTTTACTAATCTAGTACTAAAAGTGTCTTACGAATTTTTTAAGCTTCAAGTTATTAAAAGATAAAATTTGAAAACATGTAAGTAAGAGAAAATGTTTTACAGTTAGTCAACTAAAAATATTTGAATTTCATCAATATTGTTCAATGTAATATAATCCTCAGATTTGTCCTTAACACAATGTTCTTCTAATTTTGCATTTTACTATATAATTCTACCAATATACCACTGTTTGTAATATCCATGAATCTCCCGATTAATTTTTTAATTCCAAAATAATCTTTAGGGTCATCCACTCTGTCTGGTTTATCTCTATCAACCTCTGTTGGTTTTGGCCTTTCTTCTGATAATATGTCTTTGAGCTCTGTGGCAGGTATTAGTGGAGCACATTGGGGGGTGGGACAGTATAATTTGGAAAACCTTCTGAATTTATTTTGTAATGTTTGTAATGTTGTAATACATATAGGCTTCAGTAGGAGTAAATGAGTGCAAGAGAGGAGAAAAGTTCTCCTAAAACAAACATGGTGTGAGCTGCTCCTCTAAACAGCTTTTCACTAGAGAATTCAGTTTTCATGCATTGTTTAACAAACACAACAATTATTTCCATTTAAAAAATTGCTTATTTTACTCGTTACAAGCATATGGTATTAGTTTCGAACTTGTAACGTTAATGTTAAAAGAATATATACAAAACGAGTGTTGTCTATCACCCCATGAAAAATTATTTAGATGAGCTTTAGGTTTTCACTCTAGCTATCCATTTTTTTTATTCAATGGAAAATTTAATAATAAAAAGCTATATAAGTTTTTACGGTTTATAAAAAATATTTTCTTGTTCAGGTTTATAAAAAATATTTTCTCATCAGGTCAGCAAAAAAAAATTTTTGCTGACCTGATGCCGACCTCTAAATGATTAAGGTCGGCAATAATTTGTCTACCTCATTTTTACTAATTCCGAGGGTTATATATATATATATATATATATATATATATATATATATATATATACATATATATATATATATATATATATATATATATATATATATATATATCGTCGCCTTAGAGGGCAGAGGTTCTATCTCTATTTTGGGTAGTTTTGCAGGAGAACAAAAACAAAGTTTGAGCATTAAGCATAAATCAGCAATTTCATTTTTTGTTAGCGTTAATGTTTTTTGATCAATTAGAACTATCAAACATGATAGGAATAATTCAACTTTTTTGAAGTTATTAACATTGAAGAGAGTATGGCACAAATTATAAAAGTCATCATGGAGATAGAACCTTTGCCTAGATTAATTGCGAGTTGAATGGAATTTTTGAAATTTATAAACATAATGAATCCAATTAAAATTCTTTTTTAATTAATACAAAATGCTTTTTATGATTGTGTAAACTATCAGATAATGACAATCATGGTTCAAACTTTTTAAAATTAGTAACATTTTGGGTTAAATTTTACAATTACCATGGAGATAGAACCTTTACTCAAATTAACTGTGAATTGAACAGAATTTAAAAATTTGTAAACAATGTTTTTGTAATCAATATTATTAAATTCTAAGTGAAATCTTAATCTTAATTAGCAGAAAAATCAGAAAATTGTTATAATAGCAAAATTATATAACAGAATAATTATTATAGTAATACTGAAAAAAATGACTGACAAAAAACAAAGTCTTAGTTCTAGTTATCTTCATAGTCCGATTCATCAATTTCTGACTCATCAGCAGTTGGTTCTGGTAAACTGTCTCTCATGGCTACTGCAGACGGTAATGTTATACCATTGGCCATAATCTGGTGGAATAACACGCGATTTCACCATGCGCATGAGATCTTTTTTTTTCGCATCCGAAATAGGCAGATACAATGGCTGAGGCTCTAATCCTTCGATGTTGGATCGTCGTCCTCTTCCAGACTGTACATTTATTTCCATAAAGGTAGGCAACGTAATGCTATATTTGTACTGCATAATGAACGGTCTTGACTTTTCAAACCTTGCCCACTTAATATTCAACCAGTTGACAGTTTCACCTTTAATTTTTTTTGTACCATTTTTCACAACTTTACTGCAAAGTTGTTTTGAGTCAAAAAAATCGGTGTGTTGGTTTAACAAGATATGGACACGGATTCTTGCGCGTTGCAGCAATCAGAACTTCGTATTCTCGTGTAGTGTAAATTTTTTGATGGCTCTTACTGCGTTCAATAGTACTGTGCATAGAGTCAACTTCTAAATAAGAATGACCCGACTCCATATACTTCATATCGATGCATTCCAGGTGAGTTGTTTGAACAATGTACATCATTGTCGCAACAATAAATTGGTTTCTATTTTGTCCAGAGCACGTATCACTAAAAGAAGTCACCCTCTTCACAGAAACTGGAAGAGACTTCATATAATCTAACAGAGCTGTATTTATTTCATTGGCTCCTCGTTTACCTTCACTTTCGTCCCATAGGTAACAAATTCCTTTTTTGGTCGACGTTTCATAAATAGTAAAATTATAAACGGCAAGTTTCCGCATATAGAAAATTTGTGCATCACCTGCAAATGGAAGTGGTAACACTGCTTCGAGGTCAAAAGTTATAGAACGAATGGACTTGTCAGCAGCAGATGCAGTCTTATCAGAATATTTTTCGTCCATAGCTTCCTTTTCACAAAATTTATGACTGTCATAATTTGGTCGTAGCGTTTCTTTATCATCACCACTGGCATCTCGAAAAGCATTGCAAATCGAGCATTGGTCTTTTTTGGGAATAAAAAATTTTATATTAAAATCAGTAACAAATATTCTTCGATATACACCCATAGAAACTGGATCTGTGATATTTTTCGTTGTGCAATAATCATCTTTGTATAGTCTATAAAGTTCCTCAATACTTAGTTCAGGACTAAGGTATTTTGCCTTTGATGAAGCCCGACAGTAGTGAGATTCGACCTGAGGAAAGCTTAGGATGTTCTCTCGAACTGCATTGGTTCGCATTTCTGAAGTCTTATTGGCTGGAGTTTTTCCTTTTTTTGAATTTGGTGGTATGAAAAGACCAATCTCATTTTTATTTTTTACAACAAACTGAACAGTTTTCTTGCTTATGTCCAAAGTTGTGCAAAAAAATTTTTGGCACACTCTAATGACAATGTTTTCATTTGCTTCCACTGGCAGGTGATATGCACAGGATATTGTTTTTGGCCTTATTCCTGAATTGCCACGACGTGAAACATTGCTACTTTTCACTAAATGGCATATGAAATCTTTTTTTCTATTTTCACCCTCTAGTTGGTAGTAGTGTTTATTTATTTCTAGTCGTTTGGTTTCTTCAAAATGTTCTCCACACTTGAATTTGCACTTTAAACAGTTCACCGTTCTAGGTGTTTTGGGCGGTACTGCTTTACCTTTTCGTGTCTTGTATGCCATTCCTTTCTCTCTTTTGTCTTTTTCAACAAATCGTTTCCAAAGATTTGGTCTTTTGCCTTGTTTGCGTCCAATTTTTGGTTCAGTGAAAGTTCGCTTTTTTGAACCATTGTTTAATTCCATGGTGAATTCTTAGAATTACGAAAAAAACTATTTAAAATTACTGTTTTAATAAAAGGTTGTTTATTCATTATATTTCGTTTGTTATCGTCTGCCATTTTCAAGAATTACGTCATAGGGCAAAGAAGATATCTCCGGTATAGTCAGATGGCAAAGGAGATAACATGAATATATTTATATATTGAATATATATATATATTGAATATATATATATATATATATATATATATATATATATATATATATATATATATATATATATATATTCATCTATATGTATTTATAAACATGTGAGTTTCAATCCAAGATAAATATTTTTTTGATTTATAAGGTTTATCAAGATTTAGGCAGGCCTAGCCATAACCCCGGCCCTGTCCCTAGCCCTGGCTATGGTTTATCAAACCTAGCCCTGGCCTCAGTCAAATATCAGCCCCAGTCACTTACTACACTTAACTCCTCACTTAATGTTTTTATTTTTTAAAAATCGGCCATTTTTATCTCATGACATATAGAAAAGTCATAACAAAAAAATAGTAATATTTAATTTTTATAAAGAGTAACCATTAACTTAAAATTAAGCCAAATTTGAAGAAGAATGGATTAGTATTTTCAAATTATAAACAGCTCTTTTACTTTGAAATTTAGAGAGTTTTTGCAGTGAATTGGTTAAGTTTGATTTTTTTTTTTTTTTTTTACATTTTAATGAATATTTCAAAATATTTTGGTTGTTTAAAACATTTTTTAAAGTATTAAAGATATTTGATTAGGCAATTTAAAATATTTTTTTAAATATTTTTAAATATTTGATCAGATATATTGTAATTGTTTTTACAGACCTGCCAGATGAAATACCAATGCCAATGGTTGTTGGAACCAAGGTTACTGCAAAAGTTCATCCAACAGGAGATGGCTTGCGTTTGTTTACAGGGATTGTAGATGCTGTTGATAATTTAGACAATACATATCGTGTTAATTTTGAAAGGTAGGTATTTTTTATATATACATCTGCACCTTACCTTCACTAGGGTACTTTCTATTAAGGTTTGATTAGGGTAAAGGATTAGGAGGCCTGGAAAAGAAGTTGCCTCAATTTCTCTTTTTAATCAGAGAAATTGGGGAGAAAAGAAACTTTTGATTTTATATTTAATTTCATTGAAATTTAAAAGCTTAAAAATTTAGATTTTTCAGATTTTACTATTTTATTACTAATTTTATTTTATTTTTTACACTATATTTGATTAAGTAATGTTTTATATTATTTCGAATAAAAATACAAACACAAAAGTTTCAAAATTTAACTTTTACTTAAAATTCAGTTTGTTTGTTTTTTTAAAAGAGATCCATGCAAAATTTTAGAAAAAACTGAATTTTGATTAATATTTGTTTTAAAAAAGCTGAGAATTTTACTAAAACTTACAAAATTAAACTTTTTCAATAGAATTGTTTCAATAAGACAGTTGGTATTTTGTGGCATATCCAATTGCCTTTAAAACAGCATCACACTGACAAGACATTGAATCAACTAAATCAATCAGTGCATTCCGAGGAATGTTATACCAACAGTTTTTATTCAAAACAAATAAATGGTCTTTGTTTGATTGATTTTCTACCAATTGTTGGTTGATGTTCTCCCAAAGATGCTAAGTAGGATTGAGATCTGAGCTCTGTCATTCAAAAAATTTGATTTTTTTAAATTTAAAATATTCCTTAAGAGATCTGGCATCATGCTTTGGATCATTATCTTGTTGTAAGATCAATTTGCTAGTCATTTTATACTTTAAGTGTGGCAGCATAACTAATCTTCATGACAATCTTCATGGTGTCTAAATAAACTCTCTTGTTTATAATACCTTTTATGTCATGAATGGGACCCACATTGTCACAACTGAAACAACCCTAAACTATAAAATTTCATCCTCCATATTTAACAGTAAGTAATTTTTTTTTTTTTTTTATTCAACCATATCAATAAAATTTACAAATTTCATCATTAAAATTAATATAAATTGGTTAGGTGTCACTCATATAGTTACAAACTAGTCAATGGAGTGACACCTAAAAATTTTACGAAAAAATAAATAAGTAAATAAATAGAAAAAAAAAAAAAAAAAGGAAAAACTCAACATCTGTATATATAAATGAGAGAAAAGGAGAAAAGATTGTTAAACAAATAATAATGATATATGCAATAATAATAGTAATAATACAATATAATAGTAATAATAATAATAATAAAGTACCAATAATATTAAGAATATTATAATACAATATAAATTGTATGTACAAATCATAGATGATAATTAGATATAATAATAACATAAATTGTAACATTAATAACACAATAATAAATAAATATAAGATAGGTAAATAATAAATAAAATAAAAATCAAACCACTTGTTCGTTAAAGAGATTATATATTGAAGACTACAGTACAGAGAGAAATTATAAAGAAATACACTCCAACAATATATTTTTAAATTGAATTCTGTTGAGCAGTAAACAGTTTGTAACAAGTGGATATTTTTTCTTAGACTTTTTTATTAATGCAGAAATACACTGGTTCCATTGAGAAATACATTGTTGTTTAATGGAAAACTTACCATATTTGATTGTGTTGAAAAAAGAATAGTATAGCTTACTATTTTCTGTATTCCTGGTGTGATGATTATGAACTTCGTTTGTTTTAATAAAAAAATTTGAAAAAGGGCTTGGTAGTTTATTTTGGAGAAAGTCAAACACAAAAAGACAATTATAAAACTTTACAAGATTATGGAGTTTTAGGATTTTTAGTTCAGAAATTTTTTTTCAATATCAGATCTCATTGGGGAAAACGTCATTATTCTAAAAGATGCGCGTTGTAAACTAGCAATGTTATTAAGTAAAAAGTTTCTTTTTTGACCCCAAACAATACAACAATAGCAAAGGTGAGAAAAGAATAAAGAAAAATAAATCATTCGAAGAGTTTGGATAGGAACATAATAACGAGAAAGCATATTATTAGCTCGTGTAAGTTTTTTTTTTAGGTGATACAGTTGATTATACCAAGATAGGTTTTCATCAAGATATATTCCAAGATACTTTATATATTTTGATGGAAAAAGTTTTTTACCGTTAATTTTAATTTTAATATGATCAATAGTTTTTTGAGGGGAATGAAAAATAATGTATTCAGTTTTATTGAGATTCAAGGAAATATGGTTACTATTTAACCAGTTACATAAGCGATGAAGATCTTGATTAACTTTTTTACAAAGAGTCGCGAGGGATTTGTTGATATATAAAAGATTGGTATCGTCAGCATAATGATGTATCTTAGAATTTTTTAATAAACAAGACAAATCATTTATATATAATAAGAACAAGAACGGAACCTTGTGGAACGCTATATTTAATAACTTAATGTGTGGATTCAAATCCATTAATTAAAACAAACTGAGTGCGATCCGTAATATATGAAATATATTATGGATATAATATATTGGTTTTCTTCATATATTACGTAATATATGAAGAAAACCAATTATTAGCAATACCACGTATTCCGTAGTAGTTTAACTTTTTTATTAGAATGTTGTGATCAACCGTATCAAAAGCTTTTTGAAGATTTATGAATACACCACAAACAAAAGAACCACTGTCAATTGCACCACGAATCATTTTAATAATGCTAATAAGAGCGTGAGAAGTGGAGTGATTTGAGCGAAACCCAAATAGTCGAATATGAAAACAAGCAGAATTATTTAAAAAGTTGTAAATACAAGAATGCCTAAGTTTTTCTAAAAGTTTGCTGACATTTGATAATAATGAAATTGGTCTGTAGTTATTACATTCAAGTATTGAGTCTTTTTTATGAATTGGGATAACAGAAGCAATTTTTAAAATATCAGGGAATACACCGGCTGTGAATGACAGACTAAATAGTTCAGAAAGTACAGGAGAGATATCATTTGCAAGAGCTTTAAAAATATGTATTGGAATGCTGTTAGGTCCTGAAGCCTTGCTGTCATTAAGAGAATGAATAATCGATAACACAATGTAACAAAAAAAAAAAAATTTTCTGTTTATCAAAATTTTTTGATGTTTCTTAATTAATTTGAGTATGCTGAGTCTGAATATGACATTGGATTTTTTATTGCATCAATCGTTTGGTCGTAAAACCAAAAAATCAATTCAAAACATATAATTAATCAAAATCAAAATCAAAAATCAAAATCAAAATCAAAATCAAAATCAAAAAATCAAGTCAAAACATATAATTAATATAAATCGTTTTGCATTAGATTCTACTTTAGTCAATATAAAACATTTACTAATTCAAAAGTGTTATGTTATGTTACAAAACTTCATGTTACATCATGTTTCTTACATATATTACATAATGTTACATTATATTGTATTGTAACAGTCTCTCACAATCTCAAAAAACACTAAAAGTGAACAGTAGAACGAGGTTTTCTTTTATGAAGTTTCTCGTCATCGCGTATCAAACACCAGATGTAGTCACCCATCATAGCTGCATCCCATCTGCCTTGGTATCTTTTCTCCATTGCAAGAATATCCTGATGGAAACGTTCCCCGTGCTCTTCACTCACATCACCCAAATTTGGTCTGAAAAATTCCAAGTGTGAATGCAGGTAATGCAGCTTTATTGACATTCTGCATTTCATATCTGCGTACCGTACAATTAAGTTTTCCACTATCTCTTTGTAGTTATCACTCTTATTGTTGCCTAAAAAGCTATGAACAACATGTCTAAATGCAGTCCATGCTTCTTTTTCAACAGCAGACATTTTGTCCTCAAGCTCCTTACATGCCAACATAACTTTAATCTGTGGACCAACGAATATACCTGCTGAAATTTTTGCATCTGACACCTTTGGAAACATCTGCCGAATATGCTGGAATGCTGCACTATCTGGGTTTAATGCTTTGACAAATTGTTTGATAAGACCAAGTTTAATGTGAAGGGGTGGTAGTAAGATCTTTTCAACAGGTATCAGAGATTGATTAATAACATTGTGCGAACCAGGCTGTAAATGTTCTCTCACTGGCCACTCACGTCTTGTGAAGTGCTGGTTTGCAGCCCTGCTATCCCATAAACAAAGAAAACACGAGTACTTTGTGTATCCTCCTTGCAGACCGAGAAGAAATGCTAGCATCTCAAAGTCTCCACATACATCCCACTTGTAACTGTCGTAGTTGATTTTCTCAAGCAACAACTTCACGTTCTTATAGTCTTCCTTTAGATGAACGGAATGAGCTACTGGAATCGAAGGAAATCGGTTTCCGTTATGGAGCAAAACTGCCTTTAGACTTCTTGTTGAGCTGTCAATGAATAATCTCTACTCTTCAGGATTGTGAACAATGCCAATGTCATTGAAAAGACCACGAATGTCATGACAATAGCACAGTGATTCTGATACTACATAAAAGTATGCGAATGTTTCATGTCTTTTTCGGTATTTCGAGGTTCTGCAGCTTGGATCTAATAAATTCCATTCTTTCAAACGTGATGTCAGAAGTTCTGCATTTGATTTAGTGAGACCTAAATCTCGTACTAAGTCATCAAGTTCTTGTTGGTTAGGGAAATGAGGTGAATCATTCGGTTTCCTGAAATCACAGTCATCATTGAGTTCATCCGGTGAGTCTACTTCAGAATGATATGCAGCTGCTTCTTCGGATTGAGGTGGAGTAGGAACAGGCAATTCATCACTGTGTGGAACTGGTCCAATAGAAGATGGTATACTTGGATAAACTAGAGTCAGCCTATCTTTCGGTTTTTTATACTTTGAAATGTCAACAATGCAGAAAAAGCAGTCATCATGATGGTTCGTCGGTTCTCTCCATATTCTCGGAATCGCAAAGGGCATTGACTTTTGGATTCCACGCAGCCATCCTTCCAGAGTTGATCTGCAGCTACCACAACTGTAGTGTGGTGCCCACGATTTGTCCTGATCTCCCATAGCCATGCCAAAATAAGCATGATATGCAGTAAAGAATTTTGTACCACTGACAATCTTATGTTTAGCTTGTGTTGGACTAATATAGTAACCACAAACATAACAGAATGAGTCAGGACAAAGCTTGCAGGATCTACTAGACATATTCACTACTTCATGTAACAGTTGTAATTAGTTAAACTGAAAATAAACACACGAATATAGTTAAAATCAGCATATATATATAATGTTTTAATTGCATTACACATATACGAAAACTCCGAAATATACTTTATGCTTTTTCTCAGGAAATCTTGATGATAGAGAAAAACCAATGGTACCACTGAAATCAGCATACAAAAATTATGTAAGAAACATTAAAAAATTAACATAAACAAAAATGTTGTTACATGGTGTAATACTTCGTTTTTGTCTGTAGGTTTTATGAACATTGAATTAAGATTAGGATTTTTAAGATATTTACTAAAGTCAGTATTGGATGAGTGGATCTTATTCTGTAAATCTTCCGGAACTGAAACAAAGAATGAGTTAAAAGATTCCGAAATTTTAATATGGTCGTATATCATGGAGTTGGTAGAAGATAAGCATGAAGGAGATGAGTTAACTCTCGAACTAATGTTTAAAAGGTTCTTAATACCATTCCATGTAGATTTCAAGTTTTTGGCATTGTCAGAGAAGAACTTAAAGTAATGGTTCTTTTTACTACGACGAGTGAGAGTAACAAGTAAGTTTCTGTATGTTTTATAAGATTTTTCTAGATTGAGTTTGTTATTAGGATTCTTTGCTTTAAGAAATTTGTTAAATATTTTATTTTGCATTTTAATAGAAGTCAAGATTCCTTGTGTTATCCAAGGTTTGAGACCCCTTGATAAGCAGCGATTGCTGACTTTTTTCAATAGTGCATGTTTATTTAAATATGGAGGATGCAGTTTGTGCCATGAAACTGGTACAAAATTGAATTATGTTTGACAGGCGTTTTGCGAAGGTTATTCTTGGAATATCTTACTAATAATCTATCAGCTTTTTCAGTTGTAACTTTAGGTCTTCCAGAGTGAGGCTTGCTTTCAATAGTTTTGGGCGAACGAAATCTTTTTATAATGTGACTTAATTCTTGTTTAAAAACATTGTCATTATCAAACAATGTCATTTTTTTCCTACAATCTTTATAATTAATTTCTTTATTTTATTTAAAACTCCTTTTCCATACTTTTAAAATATCACTAAGTAATTAAATTATAAAGTTTCACAAACCTTTTGGTTACTAATGGTAACTATTTATACTTCACTGCTTTTGAAATATCCCAAATTGAGTTAATAAATTTCAAAAAAATTTTGTACTTTAATTTTGCTTTTGTTTACAAAAACTTGATATAATGGTGGAAGATGATACTGTTTCTAAACTTTTGCACAGAAGCTTTTTCAAAAAAAACAATTTTAATTAACTGTTATTTTTACATTATAATTATAAATACAATATAGTTATAAATATAATATGGCAGTATTAAAGTAATATAAAGCACATTTAACAAAAGTTTAAATCTATTTGAAAAAACTTTATGAAAAGTTTTTTCAATTTTTCCTTATAAAAACTGAAAAAAAAAATTACGTTTCTAAACTTTTGCATGCTACTGTATGTATATATTTTAAATTTGGCATATAAAAAAGTTTTTTTTATGTGCCAAGCTTTTATTATTACTACAATTTTTTTTATTAATTTGAGTATAATTTGTTTTCTTTTTTTTTTTTTTTTTTTTTTTTTTTCTTGTGTAGTAATGGCATTGGTCCTCTCTCTGTATTAGACATCGATGTTGCAAGTGAAAAGTATGAGTCAATGAATTTGCATATGTTTATTTTTAAAGAACGTCCAAAACTTGTAAAGTTGCAAATAGGTATTTATGTTACAAAACTTGTAAATTTGCAAATAGGTATTTATGTTACAAAACTTGTAAAGTTGCAAATAGGTATTTATGTTACAAAACTTGTAAAGTTGCAAATAGGTAGTTATGTTACAAAACTTGTAAAGTTGCAAATAGGTTCTTATGTTACAAAACTTGTTAAGTTGCAAATAGGTAGTTATGTTACAAAACTTGTAAAGTTGCAAATAGGTAGTTATGTTACAAAACTTGTAAAGTTGCAAATAGGTAGTTATGTTACAAAACTTGTAAAGTTGCAAATAGGTAGTTATGTTACAAAACTTGTAAAGTTGCAAATAGGTTCTTATGTTACAAAACTTGTAAAGTTGCAAATAGGTATTTATGTTACAAAACTTGTAAAGTTGCAAATAGGTATTTATGTTACAAAACTTGTAAAATTGCAAATAGGTATTTGTTACAAAACTTTTAATTATACAAATAGATTATAATCAGAAACTTTGAACTCTTGTTTATTCTTTAGAAGTTGAAGAAAAAACAATTACCAAATTTTTTAAACATTTAAAATATTTAAAAATTCAGTAATTTTATTTTTAAATTACTGACTTTTAAAATGACCATAATAGTTGTTTAATAATAATATTAATAAACTTATAATAGTTACTAATTATGATTAGCAGTAAGCAATTTGTAATACGGGTTAGTAATAAATAACTAATAATAATTTAATTTGATATATTATCTAAATAATATAAAACACAAGCTAGATATATATAGGGCTGCCATTGTCCCGGTTTTTCTGCGGAAGAGCGTTATAAAAGTTTTAATTTTAATTAGTTTAGCGTTGCGCTCTCCTCCGTAAAAATTGGGACAATGTTAGCCCTATCTATATAATGTAATCTTTTTGGTTTTGCTTACTTTTGTTTGTCTTGGCATTTAATAAATACCACATAACTCAAGTTATTAGGTTTTTTTTAATAACATCAATTCCAGAGAAGGAAAGCCAAGTACAATTTACCAATTCCTAAAAAAAAAAAGGAAAAAAAAAATCATCAAAAGATCAAACTACAAAAGCATTATTTTACAAATTTATTATTGTGTTCATGAATTAGTGACTCACAGAACATATCTTAAACATGGTCATTATCAATTATGATGCCAAAAAATACATAAGAGCATAGTAATAACAGATTGCTTCAATAATGCTCCCCTTTATTAATAAACTTTCATTAAACAGAGAGGAGACAGACTGTGTTTCAGTATTTAAGGAGACAGACTGTGTGTCAAAAAAAAAAGTTACAATAAATTATTATAATAATAACTTAAGTTATTGTTTTTAATGACAATGACAAAAAAACATATATTAGTACAAAATAGCTTTAGCACAATTAACCATTAATAAAAGGCTTTTAATGTTACCACTAAACAAATTATTTTTAACTCAATAGTTTAAAATTCCAATTAGTAATAATGTTGAATAATGATTAACATAGTAAATTTCATTTCATATATATTTACTAAATTAAAACCATGTTTTTTAATGGTTAATTTTTATAAAATTTATAATATAGCTAAAGCTATATTATAAAGCAATAACAACTAAAGTAAAAAAAATTTATGTTTGAACTTAATCAGTTATATGAAAATTTAATAAAATTTGATTTGTAAAAAAATGTAGTAGTATATTAGAACTAAAATATACATAACAAATCTGAGTTAAATAAATAATAGTCATAAAAACTAAAAAAAAAAGTTATTATAATAATCTTAAACTTTATATTATAATATAATAATCTATTATATTATAATAATCTTAACAAAAAGTTGAGTATAATAAAAAATAGATATATGTAAAGTTGAATTTCAATTAAGTTATTAATATTAGCACTTATCTGATGGGTCCAAGAAATTATAACCGGTAACTTTGAAAAAAGAGAAAGATATGTAACATAACATATTCTAGTATTCCAAGAAATGGGTCTAAGAAATTATAATCAGTAACTTTGAAAAAATAATAAGATAATTTGCATAACAAACTCTAGGATTCCAAGAAATGGGTCCAAGAAATTATAATCGGTAACTTTGAAAAAAGAAAAAAATATGTAACATAACAAATTTATATTTTGATACTAATTATATTAAGATTATACTTAGTCTTAGTTCCAAAGTATTTTGAGTAAAAAATAGTAAGAAATTAAGACCACCCGGCACTAAATGGTGCTGAGTAATACCACAACTTAGTAACATCTCTTGACTGGCAAGGAACACAACCTTGCTTTACACACTGCTAAGTAACATCACCATTATTGTTTTGACATAAATTATTGAACAGAAGTTTTGTATTACTGAAGGTCCTTAATTGTAAAACTGAATAATAATAATTTAACATGATTTCTAACCAATGTTGCATGTTAAGGGTTGTGCACCAATTATGCCATCTCTTGGAGAAAAAAAATTAATAAACTAAGAAACTAATTTAGGTATAAATTAATTTCTTCTTGCCTAGTAGCAATTCTTACATTTTGATGAAAATTAATTTCAGCTTGGTTAGTTAAAATCATTTTGCTAAAGTCAATTATTAATTTATTATTATCAAGTTAATAAATCAATTATTATCAAGTTGATAGTATTTTTTCTAATAACTTTTTTGAGCCTAATGTCATCCATTTCAATTTTATCAGTAAACATATTAACTATTATCAATAAACATATTAACAGTAGTATTACTACTGTAGTGACAAATAAATGCAAAAGAATCTTAAGAAATATGATCTTTTCTATAAAGTTATTTACTATTATTTTAAGTGAATATAAGAGTAAAATAAACAACTTTGATAAATTGCCGTTATTTAAAAAAAGGAGAAAAGAAAAGAAAAGAAAAGAAATTAAATGAAAATATTAATAGTCTAAAGTGGTGAAAACATATCTAAAAAGAGATAAATAATAATGTTCAAGTAAAAATCAACAAAAAACTGCAATCCTACTAACAAAGATATTGTTTGGTAATAAAAACAAAAACACGTTGAATCTTTTAATTCTTATAACAATTTAATTTAACTATTTAAAACTATTTAAAAAACTATTTAAAAGAGCAAAAACCAAAAAAATCAAATGCCTTATGTAAAGCAATATATTTAAATAAAAGTGAAATGCAATTACTTTAGAATATATATGATATATAAACCTCTACAATTTAACTCATTAGTTTAACCACTAGTCCGTACCATTGAGGTCAAAAATTAATAAATAAAAATTAAAATATTCAAAATAACAACTTTTAAAATAAAAACCTATAACAATTTAATTTAAGATTTATTGAAATCTGTATCTTTTTATAAGTTTATATAGATATATAAGTATATATAATTTACATAACAGTATGACATAAGTATATATAATTTACATAACAGTATGACATAAGTATATATAATTTACATAACAGTATGACATAAAAAAAATACAAACTGTTTATGAAATGAATTTAAATTTATCTAATATAAAACAACATTTATTAGTATCAATTATTTTTAATGTAACAAAGAACGCAGAGTACAATGCACAACATTTTTAATAAAAATGAAGCAATGTCAGTCAGTATATTTTTATCTAAAGTAATAAAAAAGATGAAACCATTTAGGAACAAATTTAAAAATTTACTTTGTCTATTACTTATTATTTTTTCTGTGAGAAAATATACATATAGATGCAGAGAAATATAAAATATACTGAAATTTATGTATATAAACTTACATGTCCACAAATAACTTATTTTATTTAACTTTGCATGTTAAATACATAAATAAAATTCCAACTTAAAAAAAACTACGGTTCAGAAATGTTTTTATGCGCAGATATTCACCGCTAAATTGTGCACATACATTTGCATTGTTATGTGCAAAATCTTTTTTTGTAATTTCATATCATTAAAAGCCATTAAATTGTTTTGACAGACAGACAAAAAAAATTAATTTTAATTCTAGTTTTCATGAAATTTTTAATTAATGTGCTTTTGAAACAAAAAATCATCAGTTTTAACAGTGGAATTAAAAGTTAAAAAAAAGTTAAAATTTTTTAATTCCAATATTAAATCTCCTTAATTAAAGCACTTTTATAAATAAATTTAATAATTATAAATTTAATAAACTTTAATTTAATAATTATAAATTTAATAAACTTTAATTTAATAACTATAAAAGTGCTTTGATTAAAGAGATAAGTAAAACAATGAAAAATAGAAAGATTCAAGAAACTCGTGAAAGATATTGAATATCCTTCTAACATCATTGGAAGACTTGAAAATGATACTCCATTATTTTTGGTGTACTGTTATTTTGGTAAAATGAACAAAAAATTAGCAAATAAAGAAATTATTCAGGAAATGGTTATGAAGCGCTTTAAATTCCTTATCACTTCAAATATGGGAATTGCCTATATGCTGACACCAAGGATTGCTGCAGAAGGATTCTATTTTGGTGAGGATAAGACTGATATAATTAGTTCAATTTCAGAATTAACCTCAAAAACAAATCCAACAATTGCTGAGACAGTTGAAAGCGAAATGATTGAATTTGTTGGAGAAATGACAACACTGACAGGAAAAAGAAAAGCGACAATTTTCAAAATGAGCACAAAGAATTATTGGAACATAGAAATAGGGCGACCTTTGGGACATAGGTTGTCAGAAACATCTAGCAGTCTTTGAAGTTTAAAAATCTATTTTTGAAATGATTTGTTCATCAGCAACAGCAGAGAGAGCTCGGTTGATTTTTCGATTTATTCATTCACGATTGAGAAAACGCTTGACAAATAAATACGTAAAAAAAAATTCGTTTTTATATATACCATATTATATGGATACAAACAACAAAATGACTAAACTTTAGAGGAAGGAGCAGTTCTCAGCAAGTTTGAGTGTGAAGAAGTAATTTATGAGCAAATGTAATACAAAAATAAATTAAATTGTTAAATTTTGTGATATAGAAATTCGTTTAAAAATCATGAAAATAATTTGAAAAATTTACTAATAAAATTAATTACAAATAAATCAAACGAAAAATTATTTCTTTCAATTTAAAGTCACCTGCATTTGATTTAAAAAACATTTTCTCCTATATATTTAACAATATTTAATTAATTTCACATACCATCTGTTAAATTTGCATGCGCATCATATGCATATTATGCACCTAATTATGCGCATAACTTTTGAATGGTATGCGCATATATTCGCTGTTATGCGCATAAGTTCCAAACACTAAATAAAACTGAATAGTAACCTTACTCAAATCAGAATCAATTTGACTAAAAACATTTACTTGTATTAACTCTTCTAATAACAAAAATTAACAATAAAGTAAGTTGAAGTAACTAAAAAAATTAACAATAAAGTAAGTTGAAGTAACTAAAAAGCAATTCAACTCTTTCCAATTGCTCTAAAAAATAAAACAAAACCTGCTTAAAATATTAAAAAAAAAACTAAAGACAAAACTAAACAAAAAAGGAATTGCACAGTACTTATATGGAATTCATACTTAAAAATAATCTAAGTGATAAAACTTACTTAAGTTGCTGTCAGCTTGCGTGTCTAAAAAATTTTATTCTCATTAAAAATCTACAATCAATAATTTTAATCTATAAATAAATCTGAATTAAACTAAAAAGCCAAAATAAATTGAACTTACTAAAAAGCCCTCCAGCTCCTTCTAACAGCTTTGAAAACTAAAACAATACTTGCTTAAAATGTTTTAAAAAGACTAAAGACAAAACTGAAACACTTTCCTAAAAAAGAAACATTGTACTAAAAAAATTATTTTACCAGTCATTTTAATTCTAACTTCTAAAAAAAGAAAACAATAAAAAATAGAAAAAAAGTAACAACCAACAACAAACAAATGATTATTTAAATTTTTATTGTAAAATTAAAATATGAACAACATCAATTCTTCTTGAAAATAAAAATTTATCAGCTCTAATTTGCTTGTAGACCTTGTTTAGAAGACCGCTTGGAATATAAAATCTACTTTAAAATGAGATTTTAAAGTAGTTTCTAGGCTTTTCTATACACAATTTTATATTCCAAGCGGTCTTCCAAGCAAGGTCTACAAGCAAATTAGAGTACTATTAACTACTACTAAATTTAATTAATTAGATAATTATTAATAGCAATAAAACTATGGTAATTGTGCTTTATTACATGATTTATAATATTTTTCTTTTTAATTGTTTTTTCATTAAAAATAATTGAAAAAAAAAAAAAAAAGACATTATTTAATCTTCTATTTTTGTTTATTTATTTATTTTTCTGTTTTATTATAAATTTGTAAATTTGATTTATGTATATATTAGTTTTATCTTATTTTATAGATTTACAAAATACAAGGAGTCCGATTGCAGATGTAAAGACACCTTTGAAGCTAGCTGAAACTCTACTCAGTGATAACATATCGGGAACATATGGTGGTTTTCCAATTAAATTTTTATTGCACATGCTGAAGCTCTCAAAACTCATAAAGAATAAAAAAGATCATGTGTATAAGTTAAAAGAAATGAACAGCAAAGCAGAGATAAGTCAGCCATTTAAGGAAATATTAAGCAATGACTTTAAAAGCAGCTATGCTTGTTTGATATTGGAACTCGAAAAAATAAACAATGAGTTAAATAATATTTTTGAAAACATGCAGATGATTATGCAAAAGCTTGGTCCTCATGGTTTTAGTGATCCTTCAGACCTTTTAAAAAGAGAGGGAGAAAAAACAGCTGCTGGACTTATTGAGAAAGCACAAAGAACTCTTAAAAATAATCAAATCAAAATTTTGATAACAAAGTTGACATCTTTGATGCTTCATATCAATCAGTTTTCTCAAAAAAACTGTGGATCTTGCCAACTTCTTTCTCTTGATTCTGCTGTAAAAGATATTAAATCAAATCTTAAAAAAGAGAATGTTTCTTTTTTTGAGGACCAAATTGAGACAAGTATCGAATACCTAAAAAATAGCCTACATGGATGTGAAAGCTCACTTTCAGCATTTGATGGTGACAAAAAAACTTTAAAGGTTAAGGACTTTGATCTTAATTCTGCATTTGAAGAAGACGATTTTGAAGATGAAGAAGATGAAGAAATTCTTAACAATATTTTGATTTAGATATCTGAATTATAGAGGACATTTTTTAAATTAAAATTGTGTTGAATTTTTTTAACTTTAATGTTCTGGATAAACTTTTTTATTCATATGTTGTATTTTTATTAAGGTGTGTTTGTATATATATTTATATACACACATTTTTTTATTGATGTGTGTTTATATATATTTATATACACGCTTATTTTTTTATTCCTGTGTGTATATTTATGCCTTATTTGTTCAAGAGATTTCAAAATACTTTCGCTGGTTTGTTTCTAAAATATAAAAATAAAATAACATAGTTCAGTAAAAAATAATAAAATGGATTATGAACAGTGTGAACAGAAAATGGATTATAAGCATATTCAGTGTGAACAAAAGGTTAAAGAAGCATGCTCTACTTGTAAGTTTTTTTGTTTAAAATTCATATATATATATATATATATATATATATATATATATATATATATATATATATATATATATATATATATATATATATATATATATATGTATATATATATATATATGTATATATATATATATATATATATATATATATATATATATATATATATATATATATATATATATATATATATATATATAATAAAGTTTTTATATATTTTTTTTAATTTATTAACTTTAATAAAAATTTAAATAAATTAATATTTTAGTTTAAAGTATTATTAACATTATAAAATGTTATTTTTTATAAGTTTTATAATTTCAGTTATATAGTTTTTATAATTATAAAATATTATCACATGACTAATAAATAATAATATGTTTAGCTGAAAATTTAAACATTTTTTTGTTTTTGTTTTTTTGATTTAAAAACCTCACAAAATAACAATGAAAACTTATACAAATTAATAATATTGTTGTAAATATAAAATATTATAAATATAAAAAGCAAAATTGTTAAATATTCACACAAACTAGATATGAAATCAGATATGGTTTCATATCTGATTTCATATCAAACTAGATATGAAATCAGATTTCTAGTCCAAAGAGATAACTTCGTACCTAGTTTGTGTAATCATTTAGCAGAGGGAATAAAAATTTGGCAAAGAAGGACCATTGCCTAATTTATTCTTTCAAAGTACCCTTGACAGCTACTATTGAATATTAAGGTAGTGTTATGTTTTGAAATGCACACTTTAATTTCAAATGCAAAAACAGTTTTTTTTTTTTTTTTAATAAATTGTCATTACCAAATTTTATTTAAAAATTATTTTACTTTAATATTTTTTAGATAAACCTGTCCAAGTAATGCTTCATCAATTAAATAAGCTAGGATGGTAAGAATATCTTGAAAAAATGAATATTTAAGTTAAACATGTTTTAATGGTACTAGGTACTAGACATTTTGAAGTTTAAGGTACTGGGTACTAGGCATTATAAATTTTAAGGTACTCGGTATGTACATTATACCTTAGACCTTAAATTTTTAAATATTTTTTGTAACTTGGTTTTTTCACATATTTTAATATTATTAAAATGATTAAAGATAAAATGATAAGGTTCATAGAAATCCTGAAATTATAACCTGGAGTTTGAGGTTTATCTTAAAATGTTATGGAATGACCTGGAATTTTAAATGATCTTCAAATGTTATGGAATGTCCTAAAATTTAAAATGTATCCTTAAATGTTATGTAATGATTTGGAATTTGAAATGTATCCTCAATGTATGTAATGATTTGGAAATTGAAATGTATCCTCAATGTTATGTAATGGTTTGAAATTTGTAATGTATCCTCAATGTTATGAAATTAATTATTTTCTTTAATTATTCTTTAAATTGCTTGTTTTTCTATTTATTATTGCTTAGCAACACAACAGTTATACTTATTTCTAACATTTTCATTTTATATACTTTTAATTTTTTCAGGTATTTATTTTTTTATTTTATATTTTATTTCTATAATTATTTCTTTATTTTTTGCAGTTGTAATTATTCTTGTTTGGTTTTTTTTTTTATCAGCTTTCAGTTTATTGGGTCAGAGTCAGTTTAGTACAGTAGGGTGTTATTGTTTTTTTCAAATTTTAAATTATTTTATGTAAATTTTTTTATAAGTTCAATAATTATTATGGTGAATTTTGGGAAAATTTTCCTAAAATTCACTATAAAAGTTATAGAACTTATCAAAAATGGTAAATTTTATGTAAATTTTTGGTCTAGTGTTCAGGAGCTCTAAAGATGTTAATCAGGAGCTCTAAGGATGTTCATCAGGAGCTCTTAAAATCTTCATCAGGAACTCTAAGGATGTTGAGTGACTGATCTGCATATGATCTGCAATTAGAAAAATATGAAAATTCACTAACTTGGAATATATCAGGAGTGTACCGTCTGGTTTTTTTCCCGTTCGCTCTGTGGGCAACTGAAACTGTTTTTATTTCTTACTTGAATCATCCGCTATGATAATCAGTAGTCCGATATAATAATTTTCTTTGAGTATTTTTTTCTACTAAACTTTGAGTATTTTTTCTACTAAAATACGACTAATGAGACTTAATTAAAAGTATATTAATTAATAAAAAAAAGTGAAATGTTAAAAAAATATTGCTATGTAACTTTAGTTACAAAGAGATATTGGTAAAGAGCTAACTTGAAATGCAACTTTTTAAGATCGTCATTTTTGTTGTAGTCGTTTCTTAATGTCAATATAAACAAAGGTTTAAATATGTAGAGCGAAATAAGTTGAAAGCCATAACCGCAAAGAAACATTTTATATAAAAAAAAAAATTCTATTATTCTCTCAATCAAATTTAATTTAGTTGAATGTTTAAAACATGTTTATATTGTAATTTATTATACTAAGACTTTTTTTTTTAAGAAAAAAGAATTTCTGCATGCATCATTAAGTGCATTCTAATGTTTTCTCACGTGCATCCTAATAATGGTTTTTATTACTAATTTTGTTTGACAAAGTTAAAATTAAAATTTATTTTACTAATGAAAAACAAAAAGTACTATGTGTTAGTAATGACTCAACTGCCCATTCACGTGATTTTTGAATTTAAAAAAATGTATTTTTAAAACTCATTTTAAATTGAGAAGTGTGCTTCAAAATGCAACAATAACATTTAAAAAAACAGTACATTTGTACTTTGAAATTTTAAATTGCATGTCAGCTTCTTTTTATTAGGTTTAGTATATAATGTACCATAGTATATTCATTATTAAACAAAGTGTACACTACTTTAAATGCTTTTTAAAGGTTTCTTTTAAATAACACTGCCCAACAGTGATTTTGTATCGGGACCAAAATTAGTTATTTCTTATGTATTTCCATCTGCTGAATTCAAAAATGACATTAAAAATGACATATTAGCTCTAGTTTAAGAAATAAAAGCAAAAATTTTCTCTTGAGGCAAGGGTTTAATTAAGCGATCGCGAAATGAAAAATCCGGAAAAATATCAGGTCTTCAAAATTTTAGTTTACGCAAAACCGTGTACTTTGTTTTCTAGGGGGGAATCAACTTAAATTTGTTAGGGAAAAAGTTATAAAATATAAAATAATAAACTTACGACTGCAAAAGTAATAACACTCTAGTACTAACTGCATTATAAAAGTAATAACAATATAATAGTGTAATTACTTTTATAACACACATATAACCTTTATAATTCATTCTTAGTTCAAACAACATAAGTAATCCCAAATTTTAATTGAAGTAGAAAAGCCTCTAGAAAAATAGAGTGGATATTTAAATAATATTTAAAACTTATTAAAGAACTTAAACAACTTAATAAAAACGTACTATATAAAAAGTAAGCATTACGAAAAACGTTACTAATAGTCTGTAAAAACGCACGTTAATTATAAAATCAACCAATAAAAAGTTTTTGTTGATTGATTTTAAAATTTGCGCGCATTTTTACGGACTGTTTGTAACGTTTTTCTCAATGCTAAACTTTTCATAAAGTTCGTTTATATTGTTGTTTTAGTGTATTTGTAAAAGTCCCTGAAGTTTTTAATAATATTTAATTATCTACTTTATTTTTTTAGAAGTTTTTTACTTTGATTAAAGTTTGCAATTACTAATGTTGTTTGAACAAAGAATGAACTTTTAAAGTTATAAGTGCTTTATAAAAGTAATAATACTATTATAGTTTTATTACTTATATAATGCAGTTAGTGACTGGAGTGTTATTACATTCGTAATCATAAGTTTATTGTTTTGTTTTGTTTTTTTCGCAAACAAACTTAAAATTATTTGCTCCTTAAAAACAAAGTACACGGCTTTGCATAAACTAAAATTTTGAAGACCAGATATTTTTCCAGATTTTGCAAATCGCGATCGTTTAATTCAACTCTTGAAAGGGTAACGTTCATTTTTTGAAAAAAGAGATTTTTGTTTTTGACTATCCATAATGTTTGATTCATGTTTAAAACTTGTGATACTAGTTATGTGTGTTTGCTAACATTTCTGGTCAAATCTATTCATAGTTTTTTTTTTCATTTTCTAGTGTAAAATTTTACAAATCTACTCATCTAAAATTTTCCAAATGCCAAGGAAGTGTGTAAATTTAGTGGATAATTTTTGTTACATTTGTGGTGAAATTTTTGTTACATTTGTGGTGAAATTTTCATAAATTTTATGTATTTAAGAAACAAATTTCCAAAAATAAGTGATATAAAAGTTAAAGAGGGTGTTTTTGTTGGACCACAAATACGCCAGCTTATCCTGCATTTGACAAAGTTTTGAAAGGGCAAGAAAAAGAAGCTTGGGAAGCTCTTAAGGGAGTGGTTTGTGGATTTTTAGGCAACAAAAGAGATGATAACTACATTCAATTGGTAACAATACTTCTGCAAAAATACCATCAACTTGGATGTAACATGTCCCTCAAAATTCATTTCCTCCACTCACACCTAGACTTCCCCCCCTCCCCAATTGTGGAGCTGTTAGTGATGAACATGGGGAAAGGTTTCACCAAGTTATTTCTGTAATGGAACAAAGATATCAGGGTCGTTGGAATGAGGCTATGCTTGCAGATTACTGTTGGTTTTTGTGTAGGGATGCTTCAGAACTAGTCTACAAAAGGAAAGCAAAAAGATCACAATCTCGTGACGATACCCCATAATCATCTTTAAACCTATTAACTTGATGATCATGATTTTTTTGTTTAAAACTATTAGAATATATCTGTAATAAAAAAAAACCAAATGTATTTTAAATGTTATTAGAATATGTAAATTATATGTCATATTGTTCTGTTGAAAATTAACTGAAATAAAAATTTATTTCCATTGTATATCTCAGAAACTAGAGCTAATAAAAAATGTTTGTTGTTATTTTCTTTTTTCTCAGCCCAAAATTAGTATAATTTGAATAAAATTGCTAAAGATACAAAAAAAAATATTTTTTTGTTGCCCAGTGTAATCTTAAGAAATAAAATCTTCATAGTTCAAAATATGGTTTTATTAATAAACACTCTTTTGTAAGTAACAAACTGTTTGGTTGTCCTGCTAGGCTGCTGGCAGGGATTTTTTTTTAATTTCATTAGCCCTTCAAGAAAACGAGTAGCCCAGAGGTTTGTCACTATTGTACATAATACCTGGAGTCCTTGTCATCGTTATACATAATTACTCAAGGTTCAAAATTTAGTTGTTCCTCTAACCTAAAAGTCTTCATTTTTTTCCCCAAAATTAGTCCATAAGCCTCTTTATATTTTTGGAGCATCTGGATTCCGAAAAACCAGAAAGAAATAATCATTTCAAATCCAGAGTTTTTTTAGTTTTTTTTTTTTTTTTTTTTTTTTTTTTTTTTTTTTTTTTTTTTTTTTTTTTTTTTTGGGGGGGGGGGGGGGTTCTAGCAAATGCCAATTATAAAGATCCTATTATTATTTCTGGAAAGAGTTATGATGGTTTCTAAAGGATTGCTTCAAATATCTTTTAATGATGTGTATCAACACATCAAATGATTTTGAAAGAAAAAAGTTAATCAATGACTAAAAGATGAAATTTATTATGAATAGTAAAAAAATATATTTTATAATTTTAAATTAACAAAAAACCTTTTCTTGTTTATTTTTATTCTTTAGTCACCAATCTAAACTTTACAAAAAAAGAAGTTTAAAATCAAATAATGAAAATTTAAAAAAAAAATGCTCTTGATTCATTTTCTTGGTTGACTTGACTTGGTTGCCCAAGTTTGACCTGGTTGCACCATTTCCTTATTGAATATGTTCTTAAGCTTATATTGATGTTGTTATACTTATTAATTACGTCCTTTAGTTTAGGTTGGTGTTGTTATGCTTATTAAATATATCCTTAAGCTTAGATTGATGCTTTTATGCTTGTTAAGTATGTCCTTAAGCTTAGGTTGATATTGTTTTGCTAATTAAATGTGTTCTTTAGCTTAGGTTGATGTTTTATACTTATTAAATATGCCCTTAAACTTAGGTTGATGTTTTTATGCTTATTAAATATATTGCTTAGGCATATAATATGTCCTACTGGATTTATAACACACTGGTTATCAGCCCTCTTTAATAAGTTATGTAAGTATGGAGATAACGCTATAGGATCAAAGGTGCTTACGGATCAAGGGTGCAAGTTCTCCCCTACTATGAAACTTGTGATACAAAGCTAGGCTATATTAATTTGTGAAAAAAGCTCTGATTTTTACAGTTTTATTTACCCTACTGCCTCTTGGTACACCCACTGCTTTCAGTTGTAATCTTTAAGGGTTCACCCATCACCCCCTTATTGTTTTACTACCCCCTTTCATATACCCCCACTGACCTTTCTAATGATTTAAAGTATTAATAATATACTATTAAATATTTTGTTAAAAAATATTTTTATTAGTTAATTTTTTTGTAAATATATCAATTTTTATATTTTTTTGTAAATATATCAATTTTTATATTTTTGTGTTAATATATCAATTTAAATATTTGTCTTTAGTACTATAAATAAAAAGAATTTGTTGTGCGAGCCATGTGAAAAAAAACTTCTTGGGGGATTCGATCCTATCAACAAAGAAGTATTTTTTTTTTAAAGAAATTATAGTTTAATTAAAATTTGAAAAATGTCTATTTTTGCTGCACTCCATAAAAGTCAACTGTTTTCTACATAATATCATAAGCCAACTTTATGCTCTGCGTTTAAATGGGGGAGGGGTTATTGACAGAAGTTTTAATTTAAGAAACAGTTTTGATCTGGTTCTTCTAGTGATGCTCTTTCTCTTCTAGACAAGGTCCAAAAATGCATTGTAAATGTAGTTGAACCTCTATCTGCTAAGCTTGAGACTCTCTCCCATTGTCATAGGGTTAGATCTCTTTCTCTTTTCTACAATTACTTTTTTCTAACTTTTTAGTTGTGAATGTTGGCTATTATATTTAGAACTTAAATATTCTTTAATTGAATTGATGGAGGGGAAGGGGAGTACTGGCAAAACCATTTACCAATTGAATGATTATATTTACAATATACAGTGCAGAATGAAAATGTTGATTTTTTATGATTTTTTTTATTTATTTATCATCAAATAAATAAGTCATTGATGGCCTAAATCTTTTTTTTTTTTTTTTCTAAGACTTTTCTTTATAAAGTGTTAGCAGTGTTGTTTAAGTTAACTAAAAAATCAATTGCTTTAATTTCTATGTGCACGCAAAATTTACTATCACACTATAACAAATTCTGTTTGATTTTCAGCACTTTCTGGCAGATAGCTCCAAAATTAAATGAACTGTGTCAACCCACGTAACTGATTAAACCAAATCTCTTTAAAATAATAAAGCAAAAATTATAAAACAGAATGTATTATACTTTATTGTCATTAGTATAATTATCCTTTTTCTTGATTTAGGTATTTATATGCGAAAATAATTTATCGTCACAGAAAAAACTCAATAGTATCCTTACTCATGAACTTATACATGCATTTGATGTATGCAGAGCGAAATACATTCATAGCAACTTAGATCACACTGCTTGTTCTGAGGTCAGGTTTTATATCAGTTATTCTGGTTTAGTAAATGTTTAGATACAAGTAAATAAAAATAATAAAAATATATAAAATAATAAAAAATGTAATAATTTTTTTTATTATTAGATAAGAGCTGCGAATTTAAGTGAAGACTGCTCGTTTCTAAATGAAATTTTTGAAACGAACTTTCGTCTTAAATCACATAAGCAGGTATTATCTTTATAACCAAAATCTAACATTACCATCTTTAAGTTCTAAGATCTCTAATTTAAACTTTGGTGCAGTTTGACTAGTGGTATTTAGTAGATTTAAGTAGTGTAAATTGCAACTATAAATAAATCATTTTTTTCTTGTAAATAATTTTTTTATTTCTTTTTTATAATATTTCTGCAAAAACCTGAAAATTGTAGTTCAATTTTATTCATGCATTAGCTTTGAATTCATTTTTAAAAAAATATTCTGGTGCTTTAGGCTGTGCACCACCTTGTTGAAAATAAACTTTTCCACCTACAATTTGACAACTGACTGTCACAGAATTATGGATGGATAAAATCTATTATGAAGGATTATAACATAATACAATAAAACATTTTAATTAAGTAGAGAACCATTATAAATATGTATCATATTAAAGTATTGTAAGCGAGATGTATTAAAGTATTGTAAGCGAGATGTATTAAAGTATTGTAAGCAAGTTGTAGTAAATTATTGTAAGCAAGTTTTAGTAAAGTATTGTAAGCAAGTTGTAGTAAAGTATTGTAAGCAAGCTGTAGTGAAGTATTGTAAGCAACTTGTATTATAATCGTTTTGAAATTTCCCACTTAAAATATGTCATTAAATTTGGTAAAGCATTATATATATATATATATATATATATATATATATATATATATATATATATATATATATATATATATATATATATATATACACACATATATATATACATATATATAAATATATATATATATATATATATATAAATATATATATATATATATATATATATATATATATATATACACACATATATATATACATATATATATATATATATATATATATATATATATATATATATATATATATATATATATATATATATATATATATATATATATATATATATATATATATATATAATAGCTAATAATAACTAATAATATATATAAAGTATAATAATAACTAATAATATATATATAGTATAACTATATATATAAAATAAAACTATATATATAATAATATAACTGTATATATAACTATATATATAATAATATATATATAAAATATAATAATAACTAATAATAAACTATATAATATATATATATATATATATATATATATATATATATATATATATATATATATATATATCGTTGATCATATCGAATCGTAAAACGATTAGCGATAATAAGCAGTATTTTTATTATTAGACATGTGTAAAACGAAAAGCCACAAAAAGTTTAATGACAGCCCACAACATTGATTTGTACAAAGCTTCTGCTCACGTAGAAAAAGTATTTCAAGAATGCTACAATGACCGCACACCTTTTAGAAGTTGATTATTTTTTTGAACAATTTTGAAACACTTCATCTTGTTGAGGTATTGGAAACACGATGTTTTTACCTATTTAAGTTATTAGGCTGCAATTTTTACAAAGAAGGTTAAAGATGCTTTTACAGAAAACGTTAAAGATGCGTAGATTACGGTTATTTTATTTTTATGAAAAACGTGCTTTTTAAAAGGAGTTATAAAATATGTTTTAAAATTGGAAGCTTCTATATACTTTAATTATTATGAAAACGATATTTTATATCACTACCATGTTGGCGTGCATAATTTGATTTATTTATTTTTATTTTCTAATTATGTCTAACAAAAAATAGATGGATATTTTTTTAATTTTTTTTTTGTGTGGGTTGTCCTTACGGTCAGAGCACCGCGAAAAAACATTCAACTAGGAAGTTCACGCCTACTTCCTTACCCATGTCGCAAATGTGACCAGAGAGATAAGAGGTATATAAAAATCCCTAAGGGATTGTTAATTTTAAAATTGAAAAATTATAATTAACTAATCATAATTTCAAAAAAATCTATATATATACGGTGTTGCATGTTTGACACTAAATCTTCATTATATTTGATATAATATTTTGGATTACAGGAACGATAGTTATATTTGTTTTTAAAAGATAAAAATTATTTTATTAGATTTGTTTTTTACTCCGAACTCATTTCATTGAGCGTTTTCTGTGCAAACCTTTTTTTGCATATTTTTAATTGAATGTATGTCAAAATTTTTTATAAAACTATATATTGTAAAGGGCTTCATGATAAGATTTTCATGATCTTCTAGAAGTCCTGCCATTGCTAATGTAAAAAAATTGTAAAATATATCTGGTTAATATATTCGATTATACTAGTTCAATACCGAAACAAATACTGAAATTTCGGCTAAGCAAAATTAATTTGATTAGAAAATGTTATCTAAAAATCCAATTTTACATTTGTTGTTTTTATAGACTTGCTGTTTTTTTACATTTATTTTATTTATTTATTTATTTTTTTTGACGACTTCTTTCCATTTTATATAATGATAATAATGTTTAAAAATAAAATTATTCACAATGATAATAATAAATTATAATTTATTGTTTTTTTTAATAAAAAATAATTATTATTAATAATAAATTAATAGTCATAAATAAATCTATAAAAATAACTAAAAACTTACAACCACAAAATATTCTTGTTCACTTTATATTTCTGTACCTCAAAAATATAAAGGATGAAAAAGGATGTATTTGGTTTTTTCTGTGTTTAGTGATAACTTATTGGACTTAAACCAATTACTTGGTTTTTCAAGTTCAATATCTGCAGTTTCGATGAGTTTTATAATAGATGTACATGTAGAAAATAAGTTAGTATTATTATTATTATTGCATATAATTATTGTATATTAGGAACATAAGGGGTGCAAGAATGGGGGACTCCGCACTTTATTTTGAGTAACTCTGATGATTCTTCTTTCATAGGTAATTATGCATTGTTGTCTGCTTACCAGAAAACTTTTAAACCAATTTAAGACGACACTTTTTATCCCAAATATTTCCAATTTTTTAAATAGGATTAAATGATCTATGGTGTCGAGTGGTTTAGATAAATTTAAAAAGTCAGGGCCGTTCCAAACAGGTCTCTCATAGAAGGGGTCTCATTGGCGATGTTGTTTGTGTTTTTTTGCCAACTAGAGAAAAAAAGGAAGGAGTTACCCGGACATTGAATTTTAGAAGCCATGTTAGGGCCAATTTTTGAAAAAAAAAATGTTGAAATTTTCTGCGATGGAGGTTTTGTCGTTATATTCTGTTTCATTAACGACTATTCTATCAGGTAAACTATTTTCTTTATTTTTATTTTTTAAATATTTAATGTAGAGTTTTTGCTCTCTTCTGTAGATGTTGAAATTTATTCTTTTTTTAGAATCTTTACAATAAAATCAATGTATTTTTGCATTTTAAAAACGAGTTTAAAAGTTTATATAAACTGTGAGCAGAGGCAATTCTACGAATGAAATGAGGGTAGGGGGTGGATGAATCCCCAAAAGGTACCGACTAGCTTCTTGGAGGAAAAAAAAAAGTCCTCAAAACAAAAATTTATCCGACTGAAATATGTCAAATACCCGACTAGCCGACTAAATTCGTAAAAGAACCGACTATAGCTTGAAAACCGCCTTCTCCGGGGAAGGGGAAGGGGTGTAACAACCCATCACCACCACCACTACCACCCGTAAAATCGCCTCTGACTGTGAGAAATAAATTTAAAGAAAAAAGGGAGGGGTAGTTTTGTCTTATTATTTTGTAATGATAAAAACAAAATCCTTGTGCATTTTATTCTTTTAGAAAAAAGTTCATTGGCTTTATATTTAGTTATATCTGTTATTGAAAACTTGTATTTTGTAAAACGAGTTATCTTCAGATTTAGATGACCAGCTTGAGGTTTTGCAATCACAGTTGTTTGTAAGAAGAAAAATTTGTTTCCAATTTTCAATAGATGATAGGGAGAAACTAAAAAAACTCTTGACAAAATTAAAAATAAAATGGAAAAGTAGTAACCGAACAAAAATAATATTCTTGAATACACATGATATTTGGTTAAAAAGCCTCAACAAATACATGCGTAAGTTATTTAATGCTAATCTCTATTTAAATTTTTTTATATTTATTAAACATTTAAATATTTTCAGATTGTTCAAGCACAAAATAAAGAAAAAAAACCCATTGTGCAATGGGTCGACCTTTGAATTTTGAAGGTTTGTTGGCAGTTCCGGTCATAGCGAATATGAACAGAACTTTGATGATAGAAGAAATTCAAATACAAACATTTTTCTGACTTCACTCGTACTACTACAACTTTTGTGCAAAAATGTTGTTTTGTGGAAAAATAGGTCACCTTTATCTCCTCGACACTGCAATTTCTTCACGAAAACGTTCACAAAAGCATAAATGAAAAAGACTTTATTGGAGATAAATTTAAATCACAGGTTCCTCTCATCAATGTTCAACATAAAAAAGAAATAAAAATACATTATAAATTGGTCTTGACAATGATTGACGGAAAAGTTTGCAATGCAATACAACATGCCTACAACAGTATACAAAGTACTTATTTAAGGACTTAATTTTAAAAAAGGCTATATTAAAGTTTCTAAGGATGGACAGGAATCAAGAAACAATGACTTAAAAAAATATCGCAAGGATTTCTCCAGGAAAAACTCCAGAAAAAATACAATGCATAATGTCTTTGCACTTCAGGTTTCGTCAAATCCTGCAATATCTTCACTTGTAAAATCTCATGCAAAAGTCAGCAGACATTTGTCTTCTCAAGCTTTACAAATTTTATTACCTCCGGAGATCAAAGAAAACTCTGAAACTCATTCGTTTGTGAAAGAATTTAACAACAATATTTCAGCAATGGTTTTGATGTTGAATGACAGCGGTAGTTTACATTAAAAATTATATAAATTAATTAAATTAAACAATTATGATAAATAATAAAAAAATAAATGATGAAAAAAAAAACTTTTTCTTTTTTAATAAGTAGAATAAATAAAGGCTTTTTCAAAAAAAAATTTTAAACATTCGCTTTGTAATACTACGGCTACATAAGTCCATTGAACTTAAATGTCGAATTCAAATTAAATGGTTAAAAACGAAGATCCAAATGCATTTCTAATGATTTTATTTTTTAAAACACCTACATTTTGGATTTGCCATTATTGGATTTTGTAACACTTAAGAGCCGTTTTTTCTAAGAATCAGGCAAATTCCTAAAACTGTGGAAGTGACCTCGTCCAAATGGCTTGAATTTTTTATATATTGATCAGAATATAGAGAAAACCTGTTGGGGAAAAAAAAAATTTCAAAAATGTTTCGTTCACTCGGAATCTGGGCTTAAATTTTTGAGATTTTTTTAAAAATTTTTAGAAATTTAGTTTTTGCCACCTTTGAATCCATTTTTTTGGCAAGGCAAAAAGTTGCACATAGCTTTTGTAGTTAATATCAGACGTAACCCAAAAGCTCTCTCCAAAAAATATAAAAAAGTTGCGTGACACTGTGCGGTTGGCTAATTATCATAGTTCAAAAGTACAAAATCAATCAGTTTTGTCAATTTTTAATCGGAGTTAATTCTAGCGGCGAAGTGTTGCACACAATTTTTCTTTTAGGATTTGAAATTATCAAAGGTATTGAGTCTAAAAATGCAAAGAAAGTTATGTGATACCTAAGGCCTATTAATATATTAAGGCTTGAAATTGGAAAAAAATGTTTTAGTATACTTACAAAATGAACCATTACGGCAGAGGCGCTTAGTTTTGTAAAAATGTAAACATATCCAACTGTCAATACAAAAAGTTCTTAACATAATAATAAAAAAAATTCGTGTGATTTTGTCACACGCATAATATAACATGAATTAAAAACTGAACAAAAATCTAACATCAAGATAACTATATTGCTAATTAAATAAAACATAAATCAAACATTTAAATGTTTTTCCATTTAAAAATTAGTTTTTCATTTATTAATAGAGTCATTTACACACATTATCCACCACATCACACATAATTTCTACTCTGCTGCAGTAAGTTTCTCTATGAATAATGATATGACTGTATTATAGTCTTCTTCGGATAATGAATAATCGCCACAACCACTGATTAGAAAAGAAGCATTTACTAAACAGATAATTTTATCAGTTTGGTTATTTATCTCCTCGGTAATAACTGGCCAGCGAAAAGTATTCTTCTCTTGCCCGTTAATCATACAATTAACTCTGATCCCAGTTATAGATACCTAAAAGTATTAGCGCAACATTTAAAATAATATAATAAAGAGTTTATGATTTGTTTAATTTTGCTTACATTCAATAAAACTTGTAAAGTCTTATATAATGTCATTCTGAAATTATTTTTACATTTTATTTATATTCCTTTTATTTTAGAGCACTGTTTTGTAAAACAAAATAAAAACTTGAAACTAATATATACTTTGAATAATATTACCTCCACAATATATCCAATATTCCATTGTTTTTCATATGCAACAGCAACCCAATCATTCACTTTCCATACAAGACAAATTTCTTTTGCAAGATTGGCGATGTCTTCCTTGTATTTATTATCATCTTCATTGTCTCCTGTCAGATTAAAGTCATCATTTTTGCCATAAACTTCTTTGTTATCGTTAACCTGACTATTTTCATTATTTTCTGTTGTCGGTTCTACCAGCTTACCTTTTCTTTTCAGGTTACTAAATCTATAACAATATCAATTGTACATATTTTTAAACATATGTAAACAAATACACAAAATTATAACTTTCACCTAAATTTTAATTTCATATTTGTAAAAGAACTATTTAACAGTCAGAAACATAATCTAATTTGCAAAAGTTTTGATAGCAACAATGCCTACCTTGAAAATAAAGATCTTATCTGTTGGCTAGTTACATATTGATCAGGCGGAAGTTCTCTCCTCAGCTGCATGTGAACCTGCTCAGGGCTCATTTTATTACCTAATTCTTCTCCACGAATAAAGTATTTATACAACAGTTCTTTCTGCTGATTTGAAAATCTAAAAGAACTTCGAACTGGTAATGCCCAACCTTGCAATAGAAAAATGTTCATGCAATGTGGTTTGTCTTTTACGGAAGCACTGTTAGAGGATGAAGAAATTGGCATATTTAGTTGTGAAGTAATTTTCATCTTATGAACAAACGAGTTGCGAACTTTATCCAATGATGTTAATGATTTCGGAACTGTATGAAGAACGGATAGCATGTGTTCTTCTAACTCAGCATCGCTTTCAAATGATAAAGTACAATTCATTTCAGTGCAAAATCTTAATGAATATAATTGCCTGTCACTTCTTTTCTGTTTTTCCTTAAGTGACTTGTTACGCTTAATTGAATTATCTGTTTTGCTATATGGCAACAACAACTTAATCGAGGGTTGAATTTTAAGATTTCCATACTCTTGTTCAATTCCCTCACCGATATTGAAATAACGCCACATCTTCATACTTTTCTCACCAAACTCAAATGAGTGATAGTTGCTAATGTTCTTAATCTTTGGTCCAGTAACTACAGTTTTACCATTGCTAATTTGAGCAACTGCTACTTTTTCATCTTTAGCGCCAAAACTACAATGCATAGCCTTGTGTATATCTTCAGCAGTCAAAAGATTATTACCAGAGTCAACGTAACTCCTTAAAATTGTCTTTACAACTGCACTCTCCCTGTCACATTGATCTTTTCCACAACAGGGTTCATTTTAATCATATCTCAGCAACTTTATATCTCTCTCTTTTCATACATTGTAGATTGCTTCAGCTGAAAGATTTCCCTGATAGCAGCCGGCATTATCAGATTTGGTAAACATTTTCTTGATATGCGGTTGATCAATTCTGAATTGGTCTAAAACTGCAGTGGCTAACGAAACAACATCACCTATTCCCTGATCACACCTATACATTGAAGTAAAATAAACACGTTTGAATAACTTTCCTGCTATTTTTATGAAGAATATATCCACATGTAAACTCATTCCTTTCTTGCCAAAATACTCTCTTTGGCCCTCTCTGTATCAAACCGGAAGAACTTTTTGACAAAAATCTTTAAGCCAGAAAGCAGTTTCATCGTTTAACTGCTTAAAAGCTTCGATTTTTTGCCTTTTTCTGTTGAGAATCTCTCATCAGGTGTTTTATGTAGTTGAATACATCCTTTACAGCAATTTCCAAATCATAAATAGAATCAGCATCGTCAGAATTTTGAATTGTTAGTTCTTTGATCATCTCGATAGCTTTGCACAAATCATAGCAATCGGCACATACCACTTCTGATATCTCTGTGTTGGATTGAAGATTTTTTTCAGATGGATCTGATAAGGCATGTTTTGAGCTATGAGAAGAAATGTTTGAGTCATTGACACTACAATTGGTTTGATAACTTGTTTTCAAATACCTTTTTCCTTTTTTAAGGGCAGCTTCGAGAGATTTAGAATTAAATCTTTGTGCCAATTTTTGTAATGTTTGAAAACCATTCATGCCTGAAGCAGTAACATCATCTAATCCAGCTAAGCTTTTTCGACTTGAAGGTTTTATTGCATGCAATACTTTCCACAAACTTGAATCAGATAATGGTATATAATTGTTTTCACTACAACTTTTTCGATAGAACATGATAGCGTGGCTATATTTTGTCGTCAGTATTGCATGCACTATCTTTTGTTCTTCACCGCTGTCGTATTTTAATTTGGTTATTCCATAAGCAACATCATGCAAAATACCGCTTGTAAATATAGTCTAAGAAATGTTCACACTTTGTTTGATCAAGACTAGATCGGACGAATACTTTCTTCTCTGGAAATGCCAACCCTTTATGAGATGCATGCCATTTTCTTGCTGTTTCTAAACGATGTTTGGTACACTCAAATGTGTTCATTATTAACTTTTTGGTATACTTGGTATGGTCTACTAATGAGAGGATAACTAACTTTCCCATGGAATCACTTTGCTTATATACTTTCTGAGCACGAATAATTTCAATTGGGAAAGGGCTATTTATTTCATCAACATTTTTACTGTTAATAAAATCTATAAGTATTTCCTCTTGTCCAGGAGCAACAGCTTCCGCAAATTTTTTCTTTAATAAGTTTTCTAGGCGAACATACTTGCGTTTTAACTTATCTTTAGTAGTATCTTTCAGATATTCGAACTTCCTTTTTAATCTAAATTTTATTGGACTTGCATTAAGAACCTCAGTTACACTCTCACGGCTTCTTAGAGATTCGTCCAAAATCTCCGGTGAAACATTAATTTCACCGGGATCAAATTCTTCATCTGGAGTAGCAGGTGTCATATATGTTTGTTCTTGTTGTGTTTGTGTTTCTGTACATAAATTGGTGTTTTCGTTGACTCTAGATAAAGCAGTTTCTTGCTTTAAATGGGTAAAACACAGCATTGCACCAACTGAAAATACTTCATTGTATCGCTTTGACATTGATATGACGACATGTATTGGTGACGCCCTTAAAGCGGGAGATTTTTTTCCTTTTATATTTAGATGGTGAGGATGAAAGCATGTTTTTGGAGGACTCCATGCAATACCAAACGTGTACCGGTGAAAAGCACATATTTGTTCATCTTTTTCAAGATTTCTTTTAAGTCTATTTGCAATAAGTCCATTTTCTTCCCAAATATTATTATCGTTTAATCGCATGACCTAAAAACAATTTTTTAAACAATTATTAAGTGTGTCATTAGAAGCATTGTTTATAATCTGACTCTTCACGAAAAATGTTTACAAGTTTAAAATACATTGTTGTCATTATTAAAATACAATATTGCAAGAGTGTGATTAATTTAGTGATTATTTATTAAAAGAGTGAGGAATTAATTAAAAGAGCTATTTTTTTTTGTTTAAAGAACTTTGTCTCAAAATCATATTGCAGAGAAGTTATAAAGTATGTAATTATAAAAATTATATTACAGTCTGCGTAAATTTAAAATACATAATTACCTTTAAGTTGATGAGGTGTTTCTTAACATCAACATCTCCCAGCTGATGAATGTAGAACAT